AGAATTCGATTACTTCAAATAGAATTTTTAATAAAATTTCTCAAAAGAATTAAATTATTTTATAAAATTTCTCAAAAAAATTAAAGTATTTTAAAAAATTTCATAAAATTTTTCTCTAAAATTCAATTATTTTTAAAAATTTTGATTTAATTCTTTACGAGAATTGAAATATTTTTAATACAATTTTAATTAAATTCCTCTACAAAAAATAATTATTTTCGAAAATTTTAATCAAATTCTTAGCAAGATTTCAATTATTTTCATAATTTACAAAATTTTTCGTAGGAATTCAATTATTTTACAGAATTTGAATAAAATTCTTCGCAGAAATTCAATTCCTTTGAAAAATTTTGACAAAATTATTTATAAGAATTTAATTATTTTCATATAATTTAATAAAATTTTTCATAGGAATTTAATGATTTTAAAGAATTTGAATAAAATTATTCGCTAAAAATTTATTTCTTTTGAAAAATTGCAATAAAATTCTGTATAAGAAAAAATTTAATTAAATACTTTAAAAAAATTTAATTGTTCACCTAAATAATAAAATTCAACGCAGAAATTCAATTTTTTTGAAAAATGTTCCTAAATTTTTTTAATACGAAATCACTTACTTTTCATACAATTATCAAATAATTTTTATCAAGATTTTAAGTATTTGCATAATTAATATAATTTTTCGTAAGAATTCAATTTAAAAAAAAATTTAATTATAATATTCTTCGGTGAAATTCAATTATTTTCAAAAATTTTGATAAAATTCTTTGTAAAAATTTTATTTTTAATATTATTTTAATTAAATTTCTCGTAAGAATTAAATTAAAATAATATTAAAAATAAAATTTTCATAAAGAATTTTATCATAATTTTTGAAAATAATTGAATTTTATCGAATTTTGGAAAATTTTGGTAAATTTCTTTATAAGAATTATTTCAGATTCAAAATTACAGAAAAAATATAAAAGAAAAAATGTTTTAATTCAAAACACTTTCGTTTAATTAATTGTTGGTATCTTTAATCTTCAAAAGTTTTAATGTTTTGAATCAAAACATTAAATTATAGAATTTTATTAATTTTAAAATTCAGAAAATTAAACAGATAAATTATCAAAAGAAAAATTGGAAACAAGAAGCAAACGAAAACAACTAACTTTAAACTGCCAACAGATTACCGGAATATAACGATTATTAATTTAGAAGAAGATAGAAGATTGTATCTGAACAATGAAATGTTCAGATTGAATTAAATTCCTAAAATTCGGAATTCCGGGGAAATAATTATTTTTTCGGAGCATCAAAGTAAAAGGTCTCTTTAACGTAAATGAGTATTTGTTGGAGTTTTTGCTTTTCTGCAACTTGGAGACTATATACAATAAGAAACGGACGAGTATGTTACGTCGCGGGACAATAGGAAAGGTCGCCGCGGTTCTGGCATTTGAGAGCTAATAAACGTGTTCGCGAGAAAACGTACATAACTATCATCCGCGGATCGAAAGGCACGGGAGATGGTTCGTAAATGTGTGTATATATCTCTAAAGAATATACGTGCATTTGCTCATTACACATTACATGGTGAGTTATAAAGGCATAAGGTAAGGGCACAGACCAGGGACCACAGTCACAGGGCATTGATGTGAGTGGGGCAATCGCACGAGAAATGATATCCTAGTGGGGCGATGTAGAAGTATAGTTGTGGGGTAACATGTTTGTGTGCGCGCCGGCTGACGCGATGGTACCACCAGGTACCAAATGCCACAAGGTCAGGACTTATACAGCAGAGAGCGGCACGGCTCGAAGCTGTACTTACGTTTGATGATGTTCTTTTTTTTCGCTATTGTATGTCTATTAATTTTTTTTTTTTCAACTCACGAAAATTCTTCCATTTCCACGTAATGATCCAGCTTCAGCAACTTTTTCTTCAATTGTCCCACAGTTTGTTGATTTAATGATAGAATTGTCCTTTCCTCGTCGCATGTTTCACAGCTCGCAGCATCTCAATTGGACCTTAAAAAAAATACTAATAAGTAAACAGAGAAAAAGAATGTTAACAATATTGACAAAAATATCAATAATTAAATTATTGACAATTAACAAAATTGTCACAAAAAATTAATTTTGTTTTTCCCTGATTTCCAGACAAAATTTTTAATTTTTCCTTAAAGAATATTATAATTGACTCTAAAAATGATTAGATACTAAAAAAAAATTGCTATTACAATTATTTACGAATTTCTTTAATTGAAAAATTATTTAAAAAATCCTTGAAAATGTAATTATTTTTAAAGTTTTTTCTTTGCAAGAATTTAATTACATTTCGCAAATAATGAAATTCTTCGCTTGAATTCAAATATTTTCAAAATCTACTATTTTAATAAAATTTCTCAAACGAATTCAATTATTTTCATAAATAATGAAATTCTTTACAGGATTTCAATTATTTAAAGAAAATTTAATAAAATTCGTTGCAAAAATTCAATTATTTGCATAAATAATACAATTCTTTACAGAATTTCAATTATTTTAAAAAATGTAATGAAATTCGTTGTAAGAGTTCAATTATTTTCATAAATAATGAAATTTTTCATAGGATTTCAATTATTTTTAATATAATTTTAAATAAATTCCTCGAAAAATGTAATTATTTTCAAGAATTCAATTACATTTCACAAATAAAGAAATTCTTAGCTGAAATTAAAATATTTTCAAAATCTACTATTTTAAAAAATTTTCTCAAAAGAATTCAATTATTTTTAAAAAATTTTATAAAATTCGTTGCAAGAATTCAAAATTATTTTCATAAATAATACAATTCTTTACAAGATTTCAATTATTTAAAAAAATTTAATAAAATTTGTTGCAAGAATTCAATTATTTTCATAAATAATAAAATTCTTCACAGGATTTCATTTATTTAAAAAAAATTGTAATGAAAACTCGTTGCAAGAATTCAATTATTAAAAAAAAAAATGTAATAAAAATTCGTTGAAAGAATTCAATTATTCTCCTAAATAATAAAATTCTTCACAGGATTTCAATTATTTTTAATACAATTTTAAGTAAATTTTTCGAAAAATGTGTTTATTTTCAAAAATATTATTAAAATTCTTCCAAAGAATTCAATTATCAATTATTTTTAATACTTTTTGTAAAATTTCCCTGAGAATTTTCAAATCCATTTGTTTTACAATTCAATTTTACAAAACTTTGATTATTTAGAAAATAGAATCTTGAAATAATTTCAAAAAAAAAAAAATATAATTATACTTTTTTAAAATAAATAATTCTACAGATATATTTTCAAACATTTTAATTAAGAACCTTTTGAAAATTCAATTATTTCTAAAAATTTATTCTATAATGCTTTTAATATTCAATTATTATCCAAAATTTTAACTGTAATTAATTTTTAAACTATTTTTTATTAGATAATTCTACGAGAATTCAATTATTTAACTACAAAAATAAATAATTTATTGAATAAATAAATATTTTTGAAAATTGAATTCTCATAAAGAATTTTATTAACAAATTTTTAAATAATTGAATTTTTTCGACGAATTTTAATCAAATTTTCAAGAATAATTGCATTTTTAAGCAATTCGATTAAAATTGTATTAAAAATAATTGAAATTCTACGATCAGTTTTATTATTAATGAAAATAATTGAATCTCTGTAAAAAATGTATTTTTTAGGCAAATAATTGAATTATTGCGAAAAAATTTATAAAAAAAAATTTGTAAATAGTTGAAATCTTGTGAAATTTTTATTATTTATGAAAATATTTTAATGTTTGCTTAGAATTTTATCAAAACTTTTTTTTAAATAATTGAATTTTTTAAAAAAAATTTTATTAAAATAGGAAATCATTGAATTGAGGGAAATTTTTGAAAATAATTGAAATTTTGCCATGAATTTTATTAAATTTTTTTGAAAATAATTGAATTTTGGAGAAGAATTTTATTATTTTTAAAGATAATTTAAATTTTGACAAGAATTTTTTTTAATTTTTGGAATATAATTGAATTTCTCCAATCATTTGTAATTTTTACAAAATTAAATTGTTTCCAGTCATTTAATAAAAATCCCTGACTTTTTTCTGATTTCCCTGACCTGTGGCAACCCAAAAAATACAAATATTCATTCTTTTATTTTCCACTTTGGAAAATTTTCATAATTTCTATTCGAAAGTAAATGTTTCAAATTTTGTCATTTATACAGGGAAAAAATGCATTTCTTATACAATCTTGATGAATAAGAGAAATATGTAAGATCCTACATATTTCCAATAAATATCAGCGGCAACAAAGATTGAAGGAAAAAAAATATCAGATGCGCTGACGTAATTACATGAGATTCTTCTCTTATGTATATGATAATAAGTTTTTCTCCATTCTATAAATTGGCTCCCAACATATCGGAGAGAAGCATCGAATAAAATAGATTTCGAAATATTATTTTTTTTTGTCGACTCATCAGGTGTTTAACGGAATATGCGTCGTTTTAATATCAAGTGGGTATTCAAATTTAGTTCGGGTTTCCTGTTATAATTTCGATAATTCCATATCAGTAACGAGTCGAAAAAAAAAGTTTCGGATTATACTTACAAGTCGTGTGGAATTAGCGCCTAATATACATTTCATCCTTAGAAAACGTAAAAATAAGAAATTATATGCACCTAATTAGGAACGACAGGAACAGTGCTGAGACAAACAGGTTATAAACTAAAGAGATTTGTCTCATTGTTTATCAATTTACTTAAACTTTCTTTTTTATGATTGTTGAATAAATGATTTAAAATGAGAGTATTCCAAATAAGTATCGTAATAGTTTTCTTAATTTATATTTTTACGGTAAAAAGAAAAGTAATAACTATACCTGTTTCCAGTGACTTTCGGGAAAACCGTTAAAAAATTTTCGATTACATCCGATCGGTAATAAGGTTACTAATACTTTTATTGTCGGCAGAGGGCGGCACTTGATAAAGTATTGTTACCACTGGAGAACTGTCGGAACCGACAGAGGTCTACATTATCGACACAGAGACTTGAAATAGAATCAATATGGCGCTGCCCAGTGTCAAGTAGTGCAGTAAGAAAATTATTTATTTAATATAAATTGTTGACTTTATAGAAAAATATTTAATTTGTCAACTTATTGCCAGGACTGTAAATATTTTACCGAATACTCCAAGAGAAAGAGACGTTTTAAAAGGTATAAAACAAAACCGTAAAAATCAGTATTTATAGGTTATGTAAACAAATTTTATTTTGCAACAATTATTAAAAAAACCATCTCAATTTTCTAATTAGAATAATTTCTCAACAGTATCAAAGTATTCAAAAATGGACGATTACGTACTTTAAATGGGATATTTTAATATGAAGAAGATTTCCAGTGAAATAACCACGTGAATGATGATTTCAGCAACAAAGAAAACGTTCCAATTATTTAGCTCTCAAACAATTCGTTCTTCACTCTCATCTAAAGAATGTCAACAGACAATAAAGAATTTATCCATCATAAAATTAACAAATCACAGTATTTTTCGATTTTACAGCAAGAAAGACGATGGCAGTAGAAAGGATTATTTCAACACATCTCTCACTCTTCACACATTCGACGATGAGGAGAGTAAAAGTAAAGAAACTTATTTGGAAGTTTTACGAAAATACACGAGTCAACCGGGTCGTAATATAGAACGAGTTCAATTTATGTACGCAGCATTAAAATACATGGACGAATTTGGAGTGGATAAAGATTTAGAAAGTTATAAAAAATTATTGGACGTCTTTCCAAAGGGAAAAATGCTTCCCACTAATAATATACAAGCAGAATTTGTGCATTATCCAAAAGAGCAAAAGTGTGCTGTTTATATTTTAGATAAAATGGAAGATAGAGGTGTGATTCCAGACTCGGAAATGGAAAAAATGTTATTGAATACCTTTGGCAAGGAATCATTACCAATACACAAATATTGGCGAATGATGTATTGGTTGCCAAAATTTAAGAATATCAGTCCTTGGCCAATGCCACGACCATTACCAAATGATCCCTTAGAACTTGCAAAATTGGCAATTTGGAAAATATCCAGTGTCGATCCACAAGCGGAAATCACTGTATTTAAAACTGAAACAGTTGAAGATTCTATTGATAAAACATGGATTGTCTCTGCAATTACGCCAACGCAGAGAAAATTACTCGAAAATCATCATCCACGAACGAAGGCCGTTTATGTCGAGGGACCATTTCCGGTTTATGTCAGAAATATCCCAGTTGATTATTTTGTTCTATGGACAAAAATTCCAAAAAGCGATATTTACAAACCACCTAAAATCGACGTAGATGGTAAAGTATTTAAAAAAGAAATTAATTATATGAAATTACTACTAAATTACTACTACAGGGTTGCCACAGGTCAGGAAATTCAGGGAAAACCCAAGGAAAGTAGAATTGCTCAAGAAAAAGTCAGGGATAATATCAAAAGTACTGGAAAAAATTAAATTTTTAGAATTCATAAGAAAATTCAGAATTTTTGGTGTCTTTTTTGTTTGCCTCATAAACTATGAAATTACCACAAATTTATAATACAAAACCTTCAATTTTTTCAATTTCTGACAAGAAAATGAATTTTTAATCTTATTTAATTATTACAAAAGTTTTAACGCAATTATCTATTAAATATTTGATTTTATGGGAAGAACTTTGTTGTTTATTAAACAACAAAGTTCTTCCCATAAAATCAAATATTTTAAAGAATTTTAATAAAATTCTTTTCCAAAATTCAATTATTTTGATAAATATCAAAATTTATTACAAGAATTCAATTATTTTCAAAAGTAATAAAATTCTTTGAAGAAATTCAATTATTTTAAAAATTTTTAACAAATATCTCGTCAACAATTCAATTATCTTTACAAATAGCAAAATTTTTCACCAAAAATTCAATTATTCTAAAGAATTTTAATAAAATTCTTTTCCAAAATTCAATTATTTTGATAAATATCAAAATTTATTACAAGAATTCAATTCTTTTGAAAAGTAATAAAATACTTTGTAGAAATTAAATTATTTTCCAAATTTTTTTTAAATTCTCATCAAGAATTAAATTATCTTTATAAATAGATAGCGAAATTTTTCTCAAGAATTAAATTATTGTCAAAAATTTTTTTTAAAATTCTTGGCAAAATTTCAATTATTTAAAGAAAATTTAATAAAATTCTTCTCATGAATTCAATTGTTTTAAAAAATTATTATTAAAATTTTTCTCAGGAATTTAATTGTTTTTAAAAGTTTAAAAAGAGTTCTTTAAAAAGTTTTCAATATTATTTTCAAAAATTGTTTAAAAAATTCTTTAATTAATAAATTTCAGTAAAATTTTAATTAAATTCCTTAAAAGAAATGAAATATTTTCAAAAGTTGTTAATAAAATTCTTCGAAAAAATTAAATTTTAAGAAACATTCAATTATTGAATAAATTATTTACTTTTGTATTTAAATAATTGAATTCTCGTAGAATTCAATTATTATTTTTCGTACTTTTAATTAACAATTCTGTAGAATTAATTTTTTTTTGAAAAAGTTTAATTGAATAATAATTGAAGTAATTGATTTAAAGAAGAATTTTATTTGAAAATTGTAGAAAATAATAATTGAATTGAAATGATGAAAATAATTTTGAAGAAATTACAGCAACAATAAATTTATAATAATAAAATAATGATTTTGTCACTCGGTCATCTTTATGTTTTATAATAATATTCTTATGAGTTGTTCATCTTGAAAAGCTTTAAATTAAAAATTTTTGAACATCTTAATTGCAATGAAAAAGAAAATAATGATGAAATATTTATTTTAAATAAAACTATTGATGTTTTCGAATAAGTTTACAATTAAAGAAATTCTTAAATTAATGTATTAGAACATTTTTCTCAGTATCTAATAATTTTTAGAGTGAATCAGAATATTCTTTAGGGTCAGGTAAAAAGTCAAAGTTCTGTCTGAAAATCATGGAAAAATAAAGTTAAATTTTTGTGACAACCCTGTACTACTTCTTTTTTAATTACTACTGCTAATTAATTTTCTGTTTTAGATGTAACAAATTTAAAAGCTTCATATTGGGATTCAAAGAAGACAACAATAATAAATTATCCGAGTGTTCATGAGCAAATGCATGAAACAATTTTCTCCGTTTGTGCCACGGGAACATCGTCAAAGGATTCAGTTCTCTCATGGATTCGTTGTTTACAAAAGGATAATCCAGTTCTAAGTGAATTACACATTGTTTTCACTTTGAAACAATCGACGAAAGAAGGTATCAAATATTTGGAAGCTGATGACATCATTTCGAAGATTAGTGAAGACGAACAAAAAGAAATCGACGAAAGATAGCATGGTTTGCATTTTTATACAATATTGTTAAATATTTGTAAATAAATCTATTGATTCAAGTTACAGATATTTTTCACTTTTATTGCACTTTGCAAAAGTTATTAATTCTCTTTTATTTTAATTTAAAAATATTTAATAATTTAAAACTATTTAATAATTTAAAATTTTTTAATAATTTTCAATAATTTATATGAAATCTATTTTTATTAATAATTAAATATTATCAAGTCAATTTTATAAATTGTCCTTTAAATATTTTCTTTCCCTAACATAAAAATATATATTTTAATTTTATCGAAATAATTATTTTTCATCTTTTAATTTTTTACTTCCTTTTTTAATTTTTTGGTCAGAGATAAAAGTGTCAACGATTAAATTGATCGAATTCGAAAAATAGTTCATAAAATTTCCTAATTGTGCAAATTATAAATCAAATCTTTTTTTGCAGTCGCCTACAGAGTAATAATTTTATATCACAGTCGTTATAGTGGTTGCCTACGTGCAAAGCTTGGAAGGAGTGTGGGCAAGAATTTTTTACTTTCAAATTAAAGCCGCTTTCTGTATATTACAAATAGTTCGTAAAGCGCATTTATACTAGACGGTCAACTCGAAAGTCAATAATTTTTTTTTGTCGACTAATTTCTAATTTCGCTGTTAATCAATTAAAATCAGGAGAGAATCTTTCAATTTTAATTGTGAATTGTGGATTTTTTTTTAGTAAACTTTTAAATAATTTAAGTCAAATGTAAAAATTAAAATAAAAGTTCGACTTAGAGAAAATTAGTTAAAATGCCTCTTCTCAAAAGTAAGTTTAATTATTTCGTAAATGAAAAATTTTGTTTTATAACTGATTTTGTTTACGTTAAGAATTTTCTGAATTACTTTAATATCTACGGAAATATTTATTTTTACTTTATATTTAATTATATTTTTGAAATTAAATAACTTTTTATATAATGTTGTAATAATTTGTATTTGACAAAGATGCTGTAAACCGTTGGAGTAAAGTTTGCAAATTTAGCATATCTACTTTGCCTGAGATACCAGAATGTAAACATGTCCCTTCAGCTTATCATGTAAGTTTTTTCTCGTAATTATAAATATTTAGTGAATATCTTTAAATAGAAATTAGAATTAATTTAAATGAGAAATTAAATAGAATTCACTCAATTAAGAAATTATATAGAATTCATTTAACTGTGAAATTAAATAGAATTAATTTAGTTGAGACATTAAATAGAATTAATTTAATTGAGAAATTAAATAGAATTAATTTAATTGAGAAATTAAATAGATTTAATTTAATTTGCTATTAATTTCAGGGTCCCGATTATAATTCGCTATTGAAGGCTCAAAATTTCAACGTGTCTCCAAGTTTGAAACCTTTTTACAGAAAACCATTACTACTTCACGAAGGAAAAGCACAATGGCTTTGGAATCACGAAGGAAAACGATTTCTCGATATGTTCGCAGGAATCGCTACCGTTTCGGTCGGACATTCACACCCGTAAGTATTTTTAAACTGTTTTTTTTAATTTTAATTACAATGAACGTTAAATAAATTCTATTCAGAGTCATTATTATTTATGAGTTGACAAATATATTTCGAGTCACCTTTATTGAAAAAAAGGAGTTATGAATCTAAATAAAAAAAACAAAATAATCTAAATGAATCTAAATAAATCAACAACAATGAATCAATAAATCAAAAATGCAATTGCATTGTATTTGTAATAATTGATATTAATTTTTTTAATATATTTAATTTTATATTTTATATAATAAAAATTTTTATTTTCCTTATTTATTTTTGGTTAATGAAAAAATATTTAATATTCATAGAATAATTATGGCAGCAGCGAAAGAACAATTATCCAAACTTGGATACACGCCGACAATCTACATGCAACCACGTGTTCTCGAGTACGTTGAAAAATTAACGAATAAATTACCTGGAGATTTAAAGGTCGTCTATCTGGTGAATTCGGGTTCAGAAGCCACGGAATTGGCTTTCTTGATGTCAAGGGTATATACCGGAAATCATGACATAATTTCCCTGAAAAATTCTTATCACGGAGGAACGTACGCTGCCTCAACTGCCACTGCAATGTCATACTTCAGACATTCCATTCCTCGACCTCCAGGACACATTCACGTTGAGTATACGAATTTCTTCTCTGATTTTAGGGAATGATTAACTCCTTAAGTCTGTTGATTTATTTCTGAAACAAAAATAAAAGAAAATTAATTTTTCTTTATAGGTAATGAATCCCGATGTTTATTTAGGACCCTGGGGAGGCTCTAAATGTCGAGACACTCCAATTTCACAAATAAGGAGAAAATGCCATTGTTGCGAAAATGAATGTACAGCATCTGAAAAATACTATTCGGAATTTTTAGATACTTTCAAATTTTCTTTGCCGAAAGACGGAAATCTTGCCGCATTTATTGCTGAAAGCATTCAGGTAATATTCTTAAGTCCTCGTATTTTTTAAATAATATATATTTAATCATATATTTAAAACATAAATTCATCCTTGATTTTTCTCTAATCTTTCCGAAAAAAATTGTCCTCATAGAAAAAAATTAACTTTCTTTTGGAATTGGCGAAAAAAAGATAACAGTTATTTTGATTGAAATCAATAAAAAGATAGAATTGATAAGATATAAATTAGTGAAAGATTTCTTTTTTTTTACTAAAATATTTGACATTTTAAAGCAAGTGTTGAGAATGAGGAGAAATAAATCGCAGCTGCGCGTTATATGCTTAACTAATTATTAACTTGTTTGCTTTCAATGTTGTACTGCAATCGAAATGAAAACTCGACCTTGTCAGCGATCGTTGAACTCTCTGTGTTTACTTTATAAATTTCGTAATAGCTTCGCAAATTTTTCGATTGCAATTACGCATCTTTAAAAATTTACAAATAGACAAATATTTGCAAAATATATCTAGTCCTTAATTACTATGCAAAAAATATTGCATGAACTTATTGGTTTTCGCTAATAATAATTCCTCTGTTTACGAACGAGAGAAAATTGGAAAAATAATATATTTCCATATCTTCTGTTTGTTAAATCCGTTCTTTAATTATTACTAAATATAAAAATAAATTATTAATTAATAATTGTAATAATAAATTTAGTAAAAAAATAATATTATTGTTATTATCTATATTTCTAATATTTATAATAATATAGAAATATATTTTGTAATTAGGCCAAAATTGGGTAGTTAGTTCCTTTTAAGTATTATAATTTTTATTTTTATATCTAATTATTTAAAATCAATTATTATAATTCGAATTAAAATCGTTCCTTTCAGGGAATCGGTGGAGTTGTGCAGTTTCCGAAAAATTATTTAAATAAAGTTGTGAACAAAGTTCAGAAAACTAGAGGTCTCTATATCGCCGACGAAGTACAGACTGGTTTTGGAAGAACTGGAGAACATTTTTGGGGATTTGAAGCTCAGGATGTGCAACCGGATATTGTCACAATGGCAAAAGGTATCGGTAATGGATTTCCATTGGGAGCTGTTGTTACCACACCAGAAATTGCGAATGCCTTGAATAAAGCTTCTCATTTTAATACTTTCGGTGGAAGTCCACTGTCTTGTGCTGTGGGCTCTGCAGTTCTTGACGTAAGTCTTTCGACAAAAAAAAAGGAATTCTTATCTCCAATGAATACATTTAACTCATTATCAATTCCTTGAAATTATTTACATAATTCTGGTCATTCACTCGGTCATGAAATTATGCAGAATATTCTCACACGATTTTTGCATTGAAAGAATCGTTGTAAATGTAAATAATAAATTTTATTTATTTTCGTGACAAAATTTATTTCTGTTCGGAAAAAAAAAATTTTGTCACAAATCTGTTCTTGCATAAATTCAAGATAAGTTAATAATACATGAATCTAAATTTATCTATTATTATCAGAGATCTAAATTTATTAATAAAATATTTTTATTTCGCTAAGAAAAAAAAAAATATTTTTATAAATTCTTTTAATTTTGTTGAAGGTCATAGAAGAAGAGAAACTGCAGGAAAATTCTTTAGAGGTGGGAACACATTTGCTTCATAGACTGAGTACATTAATGTTTGAATTTCCAAACATTATTGGCGATGTTCGAGGGAAAGGCCTGATGATTGGAGTGGAACTTGTTAATAATTCTGAGACTAAAGAATCTCTGGAAGCAGAATATATGGCAGATATTTTTGAGGATATGAAAGACATGGGAGTCCTTGTCGGCAAAGGAGGTGTTAACGGAAATGTAATAAATTATTATCCATTACATAACTTTCACCAATTCAAAAAAATTTCAATTTTTTATAATTTTCTCAATTTTTAGGTATTGAGACTAAAACCACCAATGTGCGTAACGAAACAGGATGCAGATTTTACTGTAGAGGTATTGAAAACTGCTATTCAAAGACATCAAGATAAAATCTTGATAGACAAGGAATCTGTTTTTATGAATTCTAATTGAACGGCTATTTTTATATTCATAAGAAATAAAGCTTCTTATGAGGAAGCAAAAATCAATTCAATGAAAACGAGGTGTTATTATATAACTAAACTGCCATTTTTAAAACGATTTCTTCTCATACTAAATGAATTTAAAAGTGAAAATTACAAAAAAGAATTATTTTTCACATTTGATTTATTTTCACAATTTTTTGTATGATACATTTGTACAATGTTATTTATTATATAAAGTGATTAAGTGTTACGTTTAGGAACATGTTTCAAACTAAAAATTTTAATCCTGAGAGAAAATAAATAATAAAACTATTATAATTTTTTTAAAACATGTAAACACTATCGATTTAATATTATTGCACCCTTTTTATGATTTTTTTAACATTTAGAAGGCACTGAAAGAAAATAGTTAATTTTTATAAAAGTTTATTTCCAATTTAGGGAAAATGTGTTAAAATTTCGAATTTTAGAAAAAAAGTACATAAATTTATTACAAACTCTAAGTTTCAGAATAATTTCCAGACATTTTTTTATAAATTTTTAAACCTTGTACAGATTTTCTCTAAATAGTGAAATAGATCTATTTTCTTTCAGTGTGATTATCGACAGACGAAATTTAATAATGGAAGACTATATTTTTCAAAAACCAGAAAATAACGTGATATACTAAATTATTTAAATTCTAGGATTGAACATAGAACACTCAAAAATTAAAGATGTTGAGATTCATTATTAAAGTCTATCAATTTTTCAGACAAATAAATCAGACATAATAATTATTTTGTATTATAAATACGTTTATAATCAATCACATATTAGATATTACTAAAAAAAAATACCCTTAATTTATAATTAAATCACGTATCAGTTCTTGTGAATCACATCAACTGTTTTTGTTTTCTTCTTTACTTTTTAAACTAAAAAGGCTATACTTTGGGTAATCGTTCACATTCTATCCACAATGATAGAAATATTTATTAATAATTATTTTGTCTCTAAAGAATAAATAATTACCGTAAAATGACATTTTTAAATGCATTAATTATCTAGAAAAAAAAATGATAAAGAAAAACGTAACAAAACATATAAATGGAAAAGAATATTTAAAAATAAATAAATACAAAGCTTCCTTTACGAGAAAGTAATAGAATAATATAGAGATTACAAAACTCTTTTTCATTATTCCGCTAATAAAACAAGTTAACGAGTTTTAAATGCAAATATAATTAAAAGCAAATAAAACATAATTTGGCCATAAAAAAGTTGGCACATTTTTTTCTTGACCAGTCTGGTATCTCAAAAAAGTAAGAAAATAAAAAAATACTTTCAAATTGAAAAGAAGACATAACTTTGTAGAATATTTTTTCAGTTCCTAATCCAGACTTTTTTTTAAATTGATTTTCTTTTTTTGAATTATCAATTTGGATTATCTTGCTTTCTAAAAGTGATAAGAAAATCACTTAATTGCAAAATTTATACTTTCTCCATGAGAAAGAAATAATTTTTTTTTGTACAATTTTGATTGTAAAAATTCAAATTGTTTTTGTTGCATAATCAAGCAATGAGATTTGTTAAAACAATTTTCGAATCAGGCAGAGTATCGAGAAGATAATGAGAACTCTCGCTCATTGCTTCTAAATCTGCTTCCATTAAAGCTAGTTGTAGTTCTTTTCGAGCTTTCTGTACCACATAAACCATTAACGAGACTCCTATCATTATCTAAAATTTCATAGAAATTTTGTGTTAGAATTTATTTTTTTAGTTGAATAATTTTTGTAATTATAATTTAGTTTTAGTGAATTTTACCTGAAAGCAAAAGACAATGTAACCAGTTGCGGCTGTCGATCGATCTTCAAGTACATCTTGCATAGATCGCAAACTACTTCCCAAGTAAACATTTATTAGTTGAGCAGGAAGCAATCCTAGAGCGCTTGCTATGTGATATCGAATTCCGCCAATGGTGCTCACCTATAATTAGAATTAAATTATGAAATACGTATAAATTAATTAATAATAAAAAAAAAATTAGGTAATTAATGATTCTCTATTTTTTTTAATGATTATTTATGATCAACAAGTTTTTAACGTTCAAATAAACGAAATATATTTTATTAAAACTATTCTTATAAATTACTGATTGCAATAAAAATTGAAGACTTAAATTTTACATTCAGAAAAATTATATAATAAATTGTTTTGATAGTGACGCAAAATTATTGTAATAGAAATTTAATTCGAAAAAGAAATAAACACATTTTTTTTCATTCGAACGTTCGGAACTTTAGAATCATTGATTATTTTTAAGTAGCAAATGTTACGCACGCGAAACGTTGATATTCAATTTATTATTATTATGCAAATTACAATATTTTTTATTTTCAAATATAAATTTTTGAATAATTTCAGATTCAACATTTAAAAAATTCAAAGTATGTCATTAATAATTATTATTATTGTTTAGTATTTTAGAAAATTTTAATTAAATTATTTTCAATATAATTTTAATAAAATTTCACGAAAGAATTCAATTATTTTCTAAAAATTTAATAAATTCTTCAAACAATTCAATTATTTTTACAAATAATAAAATTTTTCTCAAGAATTAAATTATTTCCAATAGAATTTTTATAAAATTTCATGAAAGAATTCAATTATTTTCTAAAATTTTAGTAAATTTTTCAAAATAATTCAATTATTTTTACAAATAATAAAATTTTTCTCAAGAATTCAATTATTTTCTAAAATTTTTAAAAATTCTTCAAAACAATTCCATTATTTTTACAAATAATTAAATTTTTCTCAGGAATTAAATTACATATTTCCAATAGAATTTTAATAAAATTCCACAATAAAATTCAATTATTTTCTAAAACTTTTAAAAATTCTTCAAAACAATTCAATTATTTTTACAAATCATAAAATTTTTCTCAGGAATTCAATTATTTCCAATACATTTTTAATAAAATCCAATAATCAATCTTTTAATTACAATCATTAACAAATACGATTTTTTTAAAAAGTTAAAAATTTTGGTTTAATTTAATTATTTTCAAAATTTTCAATCAAAATTATTTAAAAAACTACATTATTTTAAAAAAAACTTTAAGAAATGTTTCCAAAGAATTTAATTTTCTATCAATGATTTTAATAAAATTTAATAGTTTAATTATATTTAAAATCGAATATATTTTAAAAAAATTAAAGAAATTTTTGAAAGAATTAAATTATTTACAATGTATTTATAAAATTCCTTGAATGAATTAAATTATTTTAAAAAATTGTAATCAAATTATGAGAAGATAATAAAGTAATAAAATTGTTAAAAAAATTTTATTTTCTGTCAATAATTTTAATAAAATTTAATAGTAAAATTATTATATTTAAAGTCGATTATATTAAAAAAATTAAAGAAAGTTTTTGAAAGAATTCAATTATTTTTAATGTACATTTTAATAAAATTCCATGAATGAATTAAATTTTTTTATAAAATTGTAATAAAATTATGAAAAGAGTTCATTATTATTTTCTTTAAATTTTAATAAAATTCAACAATGAAATGTATAATTTTAATTATTAAGAAAGACGATTATTTTAGAAACTTGAATGAAATTTTTGACAAAATTCAATTACTTTCAAAATTTTTAATTAAAATAATTAAAGAAACTCCATTATTTGAAAAAAAATTGAAAGAAATTTAATTAAGATTATCAAAAATTTTAATTAAATTCTTCACAAGAAGTCAATTATTTTCATAAATAATCAAATTCTTCGGACAAATCTTTTTAAAATTTAAATAATTATTTCTTTTAAATTATTATTAAAATTTTATTGAGTAATAGAAAAATATGGATAAAATTATCGACAATTATCAACGATTATTTAACATTCGATAAAAATTTCTCGCATATTCTAAAATCTTCTTATCAGATAATTTACAAAGATTGAAAAAATTCGATTATTAAATAATAAATTCAGAACTGTACATTTTTTGTCTTTAAGTTCAAAATTAAAAATTTAAGAAACGTAAGAAAAAACTTACCGCAAAAATAGTATTTTGCAATCCAAAAGGTATTGGCGTGAGTCTCGCGAATAGAACAACTTTAAAAGCTTGTGGTCCTGAAATTACTCTTAAAATTGCTCGTGCAGTATCACTTTGTAAAAGTGCTCCAATTGGTAATTTTGATGAGAGAGCACTAAGTGTTGCGTGTGCAATTGCAATTCCTAAATTTGCTGATAGCACGACAATCATAATTCCTCGTATAATACCAAATAGGTATCCACTGGCAATGATGAGGAATAAATAGCCAATAACTATCGGAAATGACACCACAGTAAATAAGGCAACGAAAATGATTGTAATAACCCATCCACTTTGATGTTCAATCCAATATAATAGAAGTTTAATATAATCACGACAAATAAAAACAATTGCACCTAAAAACGCCAAGGTGGCAATTGTAATTGTCATGTAACATATTGAATTCGAACTTATCCAATTGCAACGTTGAAGAGAGTCTTTTTTGGAAGAACGAATTCCAGTCTCTACGCTTTCTAGGCTTATAATATCCATTACGGTGGAGATTTAAATCCTAAAGCAAATTGAGAACTGTTTAAAAAAAATTAAATCATTTTCTTATGTAAAAATAATTAGTTTTCTTTTAATCTTATGAGTTAAATAAAAAACACTTATTTTTTTCAGAATATTCAGCGTAGTTTGAAAATATTACCGAACAAACTTTTATTATTTCAAGCGCAATTATTGCAACAGCTTTTTTTCTACATGAATTAATTACGGTAGATAATGTCTTACGTCGAGAAATGACGTACGACAACTGAATTGTAAAAACGCTGGACATTCCGATACACTAAACCTATCTTTCTTTTGGTTAAATATTTCCACCTTATGACTATAATCGTAATTTAATTGTTATATTCAGAAAAATAATAGATAAAAATAGAGCAAGGTTACGAGAAAAACAAAGTTGAATGAACTTGTATAAAAAAGGAAGGAAATCTCTTATCTCTATTAATCAAAAATTAATAACAATAGTAATTGATAGTATAATTACCCTTTGCACTAGAATGCAAAATGTTTCTGCACAGTTATTTATGATATTTGTTGTCAGTAATGACATCTAACATCCTCATTGTCATTTTTTCGAAAAAGAAATGCTTTTTAAAAAGCAAACATAACCTATATAATTCCAAATATTCCCATCACAATAATTTTCAAAGAGTTCTGAGTGTGTCATCGCGTTTTTTATGCTGACACTTTTTCAAAGTGTATCATATTTAAAAACACTTCCATCATGACGTTTATCAAAAAATATAATTACTCTGCAAAAATCGTTGTACTTACAGTGAAAATTTATATAGTCAAATGATATGTAGCGTTGAAATCATTATGGAATTTTCATTGTTCAATAAAATGTGAAGTAAAGTTCGTGTTTGATATAAAGAGGGATAATATTTTAATATCTAATATTTAGCGGCACGCGATACTTTATTTACCAAGACTATAATAATAACTATATATTAAACTTGACATTTCGAGAATCTAAAGTTAAGTTAAGTTAAGTTAAATTTGATTGGCACTATACTGGCTTTATGCCTGTATATCCGGCCATGACCTGGTGAGTGGATGAGGCTTAACATCTGTGAACAGAAGTAAAAGGTGTCGCCGTCCGGGCGCGCGGAGGTGCAACCGGAGATCCAAGATGGGTCCCCGGTTGAACCACCGCGCACCCGTAATGAGACACGGTGGAGGAGAGAGCGAAATTTAAAAAGAGAATAAATGAAAGATAATTAAATAAGTAATAATAGTAATTAAAATTAAATTAATTTAGATTTTTATTTTAGCGCGTTTTAAGAATCTAAAAATGTGAGAAACAACCCTGGGAGTGGGATTGGTAAGAAATTGAACGCAACTAAAAGGAGGGGGACATTTTAAAGCTCTCGAAAGAGATTTTATTAAGTCCACCCGAAGAGCATTGAATCTGGGACAGGCCCACAATATATGGTCTAGATCTTCTTCTATATTAGGACAATGTGGGCAATCGCCCGACTGGATGTAATTCTTTCTAGCAAGACTCGCGTTCAGGTTGTAGTGATTAGCTCTCGCGCGGCATATTGAAACGATCCATAGTCTGCGAGCTGTAAAGTTCGCAAACCATGGTTTTTTACGCGGTTTGTAATAAAGTTGGGTATAATGAATACCCTTGTTTTTACCTACATCTTTAAAGAAAGAGTTACAACTGTCGAATAATTGTTTTTTGGCGAGGCAAAAGAAGTCAGAAAAAGGGAGAGTTATGTTAACTAAATCTGGGTTGGCAGTTGCGTCCTTGGCCGCAATGTCCGCTTTTTCATTTCCTTCAATACCTGAATGACCTGGAACCCAAACAAGAGTTGTTGGACGATTCAGGTTGTTGAGTATTCTTAATCTATTTCTAATTGCAAATATTATGTAAGATTTTATTTTGTATGTATTTTTTGAAGCTAAATTGTTGAGGACACTAAGAGAGTCTGAAAAAATAACTGTGTTAGAGAGATGAGAATTGATTATATAATCTAGGCAAAATAAAATTGCAAATGCTTCTAATGAAAAAATTGACGAGTGATCTGAAATTTTAAATTTGGAAGTTAAATTTAGAGAAGGGCAGACAAAGGCGCAACCTGCCAAGTGGTCCATATCAGATTTGGAGCCATCAGTGAAGAAAAGTGTGTGATTGGGGAAATTAAAGTTAATTAAGTCCTTAAATACGATGGATGGATTACATGAATTTTGTAATGAGTGACCCCAGTTAAGGACAATCTGGGGAGTAAATGAGTGGTCCTCAAAGAGGAACTCAAAGTAAGGGTCAAGGTCCTTACTTCTAATTAATTGGCTGTAAATTTTTGATTTCTCATATGCGATTAAAAGGGGGTAGTTAAATTTTACATTTGAATCATTGGTAACGCGAGAAAGCTCTGGAAGTTTATTATTTAATGGATGAGTTGAATTTGAAAAGACTCTGTACAGATATTTTTTAGCAAGGAAGTTAAATCTTGATCTTAAAGGGGGTTCACAACATTCAGCTAACATTACATTAATAGGAGTGCTCTGTCTATAGCCTACGGCTAGTCTCAGAGCTTGATTACGTACTTTTTCTAAACGGGAGAAATTTTTATGAGATTTAAAATTGGAAGCTTGTGAACCATAATCGATAGGACTTCTAAGTAATGAATCATAAATACGGAGGAGCAGATGTGGGTCCGCTCCCCACCAAGTGCCTCTAAGAACTTTTAATACATTTAGAATCTTTCTTCCTTTGTCACATAGATAGTTAAAGTGAGTATCGGAAGAACCTGATTCATGAAAATATACACCAAGATATTTAACTGTGGGAGATGGTTTAATAACTATTTCGTTTAAGGTTAGAAAAAGATTAGGGTCTTCTGAATTAATCTTTTTGTTACTAAAGATGATATATTTAGTTTTAGCTGGGCAAACTTCCAGACCCTTATCGGCCAAAAATTCAGAAATTATGTTAAGACAATTTTGAAGAGAAGTAACAATTTGATTGAGGTCAGGGGAGCGACAAGTGACGGATAAGTCATCCGCGAATTCGTACAGTTCACAGTCTGCAGGAATGATGGTGTTGAGGTTTCTGGTGTAAATTGAATAATTGATTGGACTAAGTATGCTACCTTGTGTGAGGCCAACCGTACTGGTTCTCGGGCCTATAACTTCGCCGTTGATCTTGACAAACATATTCTTGCATTTAATTGAATTATATATAAAACGAGCTATTGACTCAGAAATACCAATTTCTTTAAGATCTTTCATTAAAATGTTTGGAACCACACTAGGAAAAGCCCCCTTTATGTCCAGAAAAAGTGCACCCGTGAATTCGCGTTGTGCTAAACCCGTCCAAATCTCAGTGGAGATCAGAGAAAGATTATCCGTGCAGGATTTACCTTTTCTGAAACCAAATTGATTTGGACTGAGGATCTTATTACGTTCGATAAGCCAGATAAGTCTGTTGTATATTAATTTTTCAGAAATTTTGAAAAGGCAGGATGCTAGGGAAATTGGGCGAAATTTACCTGGTGAGGATTTTGGAAGGAAGAAAATAAGGTAATTATTCCAAGAAGAAGGGAAAACGCCATTTGAGATTATTCTGTTGATAATTGATAAAAGAGTTGATAAAGCTATGTCTGGAAAATGTTGGATAATATTGTAATCTATTTTATCAAGACCCGGGGATGATTTAGTTTTACATGATTGGATAGCTTTTGACAATTCGAAAATAGTAAAAGGGGCTTCTAAAAATGAATTTTTGTCAAAATCAACGGGAAAGTCGTCATGGAAGACAGTAGGTGGATAAAGTTCGTCAATAAGTGAGTGTAGTTTATCCACAGTCTCCTTGTCTGCCGAGCATGAAGAAGAGGAGGGTTGTGTGTATCGATTTTTAAAAGATTTAATAACAGACCAAACCTTTGTTAAAGGTGTGTGTCTGTCTAAGGAATCGCAAAATTTTTTAAAAGATTGGCGTCTGGCTTCGCTAAGAGTACGCTTAGCTACAGCTTCAGCCTTTTTATAAGTAAGAAAATTAGGGTAGTTTGAGCATTTTTTATAATTTTTTAAAGCTAATTTTCTGTTTTTTATTGCTTCGTCGCAATCGTTGTCCCACCAAGGCGCAGGAACAAACGGTTTTTTAGAAGAGGGGGAATTTTGTCTTGTGTTAGGTGAAGTTACGCGTTGGGGGCAAATTGTATTAATTGTCGTGTCTACAAGGTGTACAAACTGATCATAGTCAGAAATAGGGCTATCTGTATTGAGGGTGTTTAGATTTGAGTCTATGGATGAATGGAGTTCAGAAGAAAAGAGAGGCCAGTCTATACCTCTCAAATTATATTTATGTGATGTAAATTTGGAAATAGGTATTGTAATGCCTAAAGATGAGAATATGGGAAAATGATCACTGCCTAAAGTGTCATTGTGAACGCTCCAAGAGGAGGACGTGAATAAATTGGAAGAGACAAGGGTGAGGTCTAAGACTGAGCCAGGATTTGGTGGGCGGCCTACTAAAGTAGGTGTTCCATTGTTTAGAAGGATAAAATCTGTAACATCCAATTCGTCACATAGGTTGCGTGCATTCGGACAAACATGGGAGCTACCCCATAGAGTGCTGTGACAGTTAAAATCCCCCCCTATAAAAACCGTCTTGAAGCCCGAGTTTTTAATAGAGTTAAAAAATTTTTTCCAGTAGGAAGGAGGAGTTAATTTACCGGGGACTCTATAAACCGATACTATCAAAAGTTTACCTATGGAGGAATCAATTGAAACAGCGAGTGTTTCAAGTTCATCCTCGCGAGTAAAAATAGATCCAATTTTTGAAAAAATTAAGTTTTTGCGAATTGCAAAAGCAAGGCCACCGCCTTTGTTTGTTGTTCTATCTGATCTAATAATGTTAAATTGTTTAAGTATATTGAAATTAACGCGCTTTTCAGGCTTCAAGAAGGTTTCGCAGAGGAGGAGAATGTCGAATTTGTTTGAAAGTTTGTGAACTTCGGGTGTCTTGTTAGAGACACCACGACAGTTCCATTGCAGAAGATTTAATTGGGAAAGACTAGCCATTTTTGTGGGCTGGAAGAGCTAACAAAGAATGGAGGCTAGTCGTAATGTTAGAGAGAGTTTCTAAATTTTGTTTCGTAATTTCTGGTGAAGAGTTGGAAGAAATGTGAGTGATATGTGTTTTTAGTAGTGAGAGGAAAGAATTGAGTGATTCTACGATCTGGGTGTCAGAGTTAGGTGTGTGTGATTGAGTCGGGGTAGGAGAAGGAGAGGTAGATGAAGGATTCGAAAGAGCAAAACCGTTAGGCATGGAGATCTCGGATCTGCCATTGTTCCAGTTTGCAGCGAAGAAGGTTGAAGAAGAAGAGTTTTTTGGTGTTCGGTTTGTGTGAGAGTGTGGTGCTTTGTTTGTTGTCTGTTGAGAATGGTTGTTGTGAACTGTTGTCGCTTGAGAGAATAAACGTTTTTGGAGGTTAGAATTTTGTGTGAAGGTTGAAGAAGGGGCAGGTTGATCTGCCAGATCAGGAAAGTCGGAGAAGTTAAAAGCGTCCATGCGACGAGTGTTTCTTTTTGGTTTGAGGATTTCCTTTGCTTCGTCAAAGGACATTTTATGTTGAGTTGCGTAGTAGCGAACTTCTTTTTGAAACGTGAACTCTGGACATTGTTTTGACGAAGGTTTGTGTGGACCGTTACAGTTTGCACACCTTGGGGGGCCTGACGCGTTGGTGCAAGGGTTGGTATCATCATTGTGGGGGGCTGAACCGCCACATTGTTGGCATCGAGTTTTTGACCTACAGTGTTTGGCTATGTGACCAAATCGCAGACAATTCATGCACATGCGTGGGTCTGGAATGTAGGGGCGTACTGGAGATGAACCTTTATAAATTGACACACGCTCTGGAATGGTAGTTCCTTGAAAAGTAAGAAGGACGGTGGTAGAGGGTTCAAACGTAACTGTGTTTTTCTCGTCAATTTTTCTGCGGTTAAACCTCAGGGCATTGATAATTTTACAATCCTTACCGTAGTTACCAATAATTTCCGCGTTCTCTAAAATCTCTTCCGTGGAGATGTCTAGCCCGATATTGTTAATTATTCCCTGACACGTGACGAAACTCGATGGGATTATAGCTATTAGACCTTTTGATTTAAGAGTCGGATCAGAAACAATTTGGTTGGCTGCTCTGCCACCATTCATGATAACTCGGACTTTTCCGCGACCGCTTGGGTAAATTCCAACAACTTTACCGGGATAAAGATTGTGGATGATTTTACCGACTGACACATGATTCAGGTCTTTCGACGCATCGTTTGATTTGGGATCGCGCTGTAAGAAAACCGGGCAATTTCCCTTATTAGAATTTTCGTATTTGACGAGTTTGACTTCTTTTTTACCTGTCTTCTTACCGGATTGATCTGCACGCACTGTGTTAGGGTCAAGAGGCGGTTTGAATGGGTCTGGTTGATTCTCACATTTACGTTTTTTGTCCGAATCTAGGGACGATGTTGAGTTTGTCCGCGATCGAACATTTTTTGACGATTGTTGTTGATAATACAATAAATTTCTTGCAGCTCTCTGCTCCTCCGTCTCATCGGAGAAATCCATTCGGAAGTCTGAATTTTCGCTAGAGGCCATGCCTCTGCGATACGCGCGCTCAGCCACGAGGCTGGCTAACCTAAAAGGAAACGAACTACTAATAAAAGGGTTAGTACACTATGAAATAGGTACAATAAGACACGATGTGTCTTTAAAAGGGATCCCGGTTTTAATCGCGTACAATAATGAGCACCACTGAATTAAATAAAGCCCGTAAATCTATATATATTTCGTAAGCAAAATAACGCGTCCGCTCGGTAACGCATTCCTTACGGAACTCCTCGAGAATCTAAAGATAGAAACATTCACCACGCATGCGTAATTTGTCGTTTTAGTAGAGATGGAAATATTACAAAATTTCACATAGTAATAAAGTTATTAAAAAAATTAGGAAGTTATAAATAAAAATTAACTTCTTTATTTATATTATTATTTATTTAAAAAATGTATTAAATAATTATATAAATAATGAATTAATTATTGTAATTTTGAATTTGAATAAGGAACGGAGAAACTTGTCCACCAATCACAATCGTGTACGCGTCCAATCAGAAGCGTGGAATTGTGTCAGCCATAATGGAAAATTGAGCCAATGAGAAGCCTAGAAAAGTATCTCTTCCTAGACTTGTTCATTCCTGTTTAATGGATTTGTGTTGAACAATCGTATCCTTTCGCATCTGCTAATTTTGTTCCTAAAATATGTGAGTATTTATCAATAATGTATTATATTTGATTGGAGTTATTGATTTCATTGATATTTATAATATTTTGTGAAAATATTGTACGAAAATGGTTGATAATCGACAAATTGTCCCCCCTCTCATGCTCGATAAAATATCACCTGGTGCATCCGGTATTTGCCATATTTATCAAAAATATTTAGGAATCTATCAAATTTGTTTCGAATTACTGATTATTTTGTCATATTTGATAGTATTCGTGATAATATTTTGCCCATTTTGCCAAATCTCAACAATGCGATTTTTTCAAAATGGCGTCGACTGCAGCTCAGCTGCCAGCCGAGCTCAGCTGTAAAGTTTCATTCGTTTTTTTCTGTTTTCTTCCGTAATCTGTAATCATGTAATTGTAATCGGACGTGAGTTTTAAAAGTTAGAGAATCGAGATTATTATTTTCGTGGTAAACGTGGTAAATAATGATAAATTTGTATGTTCTTTTTGTTGCAGGATTTTCTCGGAATTCTCGAGTGATATTGAAATGGTGCTTGCAACGAGACATTTGGAGCTTAGTCTTATCATTTTGTTATTTTTTAAAGTTTTTTTTTGTAAACTTGTTTGATTTGGATTATTAAAAGGATCTTTTAGCGAAAGGAACAAGTGGTAAGAGAACATTATTTATTGCTTTTATTCTATTTTCAGAACATTTTGAGTTTCTTAACCAAAGGCGAATAATCAAAATCAGTTAACCTCTTTTTTTATTATCTTGATTAACTTAATTGGTTAGATTTTTTCTCGGATATAGTCTATTTTTAATTTTATATATGATTTTCTTTAACGCGATGAATTTTTTTTAAACATGTGAAATACATATTTTGAGGTTATGGACATTATTTATAACTTTTGCAGTAATTTTAATTATTGACTTGTACTATTAAATGTTTTTTTCCAGGGCGAATATTTGATAACAGGAGCTAGTCGTATTTGTAAAGAAACCTGAAAGATTAAATATCAAAAGTTTTATTAAAAGTAGTAAATTCAGTAAATAATTAACAGTCAGAGTAAATTTTAATAGTTTGGAAAAATTAAATAGATACTTTGAAAAATTTAGTCAAATTTGGTTTTAAAAAATTCTATTTTGGAAAATTAGAAGCAGTTCGTGTCCATAAAAAATATTGTAATCATAAGAATTAAGTTTTTGCAAAAATTTTAATGGTAATTAATAAATTCAACAAAATTATTGGATGAAAAATATTAAATTATTTTAGTTTTATTAATACTGAAAATTACAATTATCATTTTTTTTACAAGTAGAAAGTTTTTTTTTATTTAAATACGTTTTAGTAAATTTCTCTTAAAAAATTAACTATATTCGAAAATAAAATTTTGTCATGAAAGTTCCTAAAGTTCTGAATGTTCAAATGAAGGAAATTTATTTAATTTAGATTTAAAAAAATGAATAAATCGCATTTAAAAATTAAACTAAATTAAATGAATAATTCGTTCAATGAAATATTTTTAATAAAGAATAAATTAAATAAATAATTCGTTTATGAAAATGTTTTTAATAAAAACACTATGAAAATTAAATTAAATGAATATTCGTTCCTGAAAATATTTTTAATGAATAATAAATTAAAATTTATAATTCGTCGATGAAAATATTTTTAATAGAAACATTTCGTTTATTTGAATGTTCGAAACTTGTGGATTATTGTCATGTAGTCAAAATGTTAACAGAAACCTGAAAAACGATATTTTAAAAATTCATAATTTTAACAAATTGAAAGACTTGTAAACTTTATTCATAAAATAATTTAATTTCAAGTCTGCAATTGTTTCAGGACTTCAGAACAAAAAAGGACAGCCAAGGGGAGGAAGAAAACAACTTAGTCTCTTCTCATCATTCCAATCCGGTAATTCTCAAAGGCAAGTCTCTCTTCTTTCCAAAATTGATGTGACGAAGGCAAGTTCAAATAATTTTGAAAAATTGCACAGTGGCAGCTAATTGAATAACATTAAATTTTTTCTTAGTATTCGGATTTTCTGTATTTAAAAACTGGTTTAATTTGATAATTGCTTGATTGTCAAAAATATTTTACAATTTTTTTCAAAAAGTAAAATTTAATTTTTCTTTTTTTCTCTATAAAATTAATAAAATTCTATAAATTCAATTTGGAAAATATCTAGAGCTCAGAATTGTATTTTCTCTTCTTTATCAGCTTTTAGAAAATTCTTGTACATTTTTGCTTCATTGTCATCATAATTAAAATTAGTAAAAATTGCACTCATTGAAATAGTGTTAATTAAAAGTTAATAATTTTTTACAAACAGTTGACTTTTAATAAAATCATATATATTCATTATTGCTGCTGTGTAACTTTTCACCACTTTTTACATTTATATTTAAGGAAATATTTTTATTTGCATACTTGAAGAAATTTAAAAAAAAAATTTAAGATTTCGAATCAAATTTAAATTCGAAACAAATTGAAACAGAAACAAATTTAAATTTAAATTCGAAACAAATTGAAACAGAAAGAAATTTAAAATAAAATTCGAAACAAATTGAAACAGAAACAAATTTGTTTCTGTTTCAATTTGTTTCGAATTTTATTTTTTTGTTTCTAAGTTTATTTAGATCATAAAAACAAATATAACAGAAATTATAAACAATTAGTTTATATTATAAACAAATAGACGGAGGAAAGGGAAATTTTTGAATAAAAAATTATAGTTGTCTTTATATTTAATTTATATTTTTTTTACAATCACAGCATTTTTTTGTGTTTTATATCACATTTGAAGTATTTTTTCTTCTACTTTTATTAAAAAAATATTTATTTAATGGCTTAGATAGGAAAATTTCGGTTAAATGCATTGTTTCTCGTGTTGGTTACACCACTCGGGTGCAATTGCCTCGGGGTAAATATTTTTACTCTCTAGTCTTTCTCTCTGAGCCATTAATCTCGGTTCCACGTCGGCTGTTTTTAAACTTGGCGAATTGGTCCACAATCTTTCGGCGAATGCAGCTGCTCTTGGCCAAACTCGCGAATCCAAAGAACCACTCACGACATATTCGCCCCATATGCACGCTTCACCTCCAAGAACTCCTCTCTGTAAATTTATTAATTATTATCATTTTAAATTTGGGAAATTTAAAAAAAACAATTTTATAGATTTTCGAAAAAATCTGAATTAAGAATTAAAATCCCGAATTAAGAATTAAAATTCAGTTTATTACCGAACTGGGAATTCGATTATTGTAAACTTCTCTCCACGTGTGATAATAAGTATTGCGATGAATTCCATGATCCAGGTACCATGCATTTTTCGTGGAAATTATTAAATTATATCCTAGATCTAATAATTGTTGGTTGAGTTCTAGTTCGGCTTCTACCCATGTTTGAATGATGAATTTATTCTTATTGAGATAATTTTCTATTATATTTGGTGACGTTAGGTGAGAACTCCAAATTATCGCTTTTGTGTCTTCATTGTTTGTCAGTTCTTTTAATATATCAACTTGTGATTTGTGAAAATCACTCCAAAGTTTGAAGAAGTCTTTTTCCTGTAGACCCAGTCCGTTTAGTTTCATTTTCTCTGTTATTTCGTAAGTACTATTCCAACAGTTTATGAAGAGCTAAAATTTACCAAAAGGATAAAATATTACATTTTTTTTAAATTAAATCAAATAATTATCATTAAAAATTAATTGCATTGCTATAAATATTTAAAAAAAATTAATTTTCAGAATTTCTTTATTAGAATTTATTTATTAAATAATTAAATTATTAATATGAATAATTAATTGTTATTACAATAATTCTTTTAAAAATAAATAAAAAAATCTTTTAAATAAGTTTAAAAGATTAATAGATACCTCATCACCACCAAGATGCATTATTGTATCTTTATCCCAAATATTCAGAATATCTCTGTATAAAATTCTCAAAGTACTTAAAGTATTTGGATTGACAGGATTAAGTTGACCACAAGGTGGTTGAATACAGTAGTCCCTCCAGGGTTGTTTGTTCACACAAACTGCAAGATTTCCAAGATTTGCTTCAGGACCCCATTCCCATCCAGCTCCTGCGTGCGATGGCGAATCTATTTCCAAAATAACACGAACGCCACGAATTTTCGCGTATTTTATTATCATTTTCATATCCGATACGCTGTAGATTTTTTCTGGACTATAGGCACCGAATCTGAATTTAAGAATAAATTTTATGAGTGATTATTGATTAAAATTTTTAGAAAAGATTAAAAAATTTATGGCTATCAACTAAAATTCGTTAGCATAAAAGATTTTTAGCAAATAAAATTTGTTATCAAATAAAATTCGTTAGCCAAGAAAATTTGTTAGCAAAAAAATTTGTTAGAATAAAACTTTTTAGCAAATAAAATTTGTTAGCAAAAAAATTTGTTAAGAGAAAACTGTTTTGGAAATAAAATTTGTTATCAAATAAAATTCGTTAGCAAATAAAATTTGTTAGTCAAGAAAGTTTGTTAGCAAAAAAATTTGTTAGGAAAAAACTGTTTAGCAAATAAAATTTGTTAGCCAAGAAAATTTATAAGCAAAGAAATTTGTTAGAAGAAAACTGTTTAGCAAATAAAATTTGTTAGCCAAAAAATTTGTTAAGAGATAACTGTTTAGCAAAATTTAAAGTAATTAAAAATTCTTACAGACTCATGTAAGGAAGACTTTTTATCTCAAGGGGGAAACTTTGACTGTCAGTGGCGTGCCAATGAAGAATATTTAATTTCGAAGCAGCGAGTCCATCGATTGTTCGTAAAATATCTTTGACTGGAAGGAAATTTCTGGCAGTATCGATTAATAGTCCTCGATGTGGATAGGCTGGTTTGTCCTTAATCATTGCATTGTCCACGATAACTAATACTGGATTTCCGGTACTTGTCAAGCTAGGCGCTATTAGTTGGGAAAGAGTTTCTAAACCATGACGAGCTCCATAAATAGTTGATGCGTCTATTGATACTTTTTTATTGTCTTTTCCTGTTTATACATACATTTTTGTTTCTTCATTAAAAATTTATTCAATTTTTGTTAATATTAGTGCTGTATTTTAAATCATAGAATTGAACTTTTTTCGGAGCACTCTCATGAAATTGAGCCGAGGCCGAGGGTTAAATTAAAATGAAACTTGGTAGTATTAAATTTAATAGTAGTTTCAGAAAATCAATTTTTTGGGTGAAAACAATTGTTTATTCATGCATATTCTGACCTTTTCTCCTTTTTTAAAGAAAAGATAATAAAAATTGTCAGTTTTTGTAAGTTAGAAAATTTTTTAGTTACGTTGAAGAAAAATATGTTTACTTTTTGCAAATTTTGGAAATCTTAGTTTATGCAGCTTAAAAATCTTTTTATATTTTATCAGTCTTTAAACTTAGAATTTTTTTTATGTATTTATATGAATTTATCACTTGGAAAAAATTATAAAGTTGATATTTTTAAATAAATTATCAATCTTCCAAGCTATTTATTTGACTTGGTGATTTTTTTAAAAAATATTTACTAGAAATTTTTTTATTTAAGGCATAAAATTATATAAAGTAACTTGTACTATTTTTAAAGTAAAATTCAAACTGTTTGGAATTTCTATAAAATTGTACTACTTTCAGAATAAATTTTACAAAATTGGAAATAAATTTCATTAAATTTAATTAATATTTACTCTGGAAATGAAGATTTGTAATTAAAATTTTTACTATTTTTGGAGTAAATTTTAATACGTTAGAAGCAAATTTGACTATTTTTACTGCAATTCACTTTAAATACAGTAAAATATATAGAATTAAAAAAATAGAATTATTGTAACTAAATTTTTTATATATACTAAAATTTTACTATTTTTGGAGTAAATTTTAATAATTTAAAAGCAAATTTTACTATTTTTACTGCAATTTACTTCCAATACAGTAGAATTCTGGAATTTAGGAAAATTTAGCATTCTAACAATAATTTTGATTCAAAATTTAGAAAAATTACAGACTATGGGAAAAGATATTTAATTAATTAATTAATATTTAAATAATTGTCGACTCTTACATTTATTTTGCAATCAAAGAATAAACTTTTGTGGTTGCGTGCAACCGGTAAATAAATATAATTCTACCAAACTTCATTTGAATTGGTGAGGGTGCTCCGAAAAAGTTTAATTTTAATATGGAATGTCACATTAGGTAAATTATATCGATTTCAGGGTGAATAGAGAAAGGATAAATTATTATTATAAAAAATAGTCATACCTCCTTTGGGAATATTGAGGCTGTATTCCTCATTAGTCTTCCAATTTAAGTCGAGGTTTTCTGAAGTTACTTTGAAGTAGACAGTGATAGTTAAATTATTGTCAGTCTTACATTCATGACCACAGAGTAATTTTACATTTTCTATAAAAATATTACTCATTTCTGTTAAAAACGGTTTTATCTCAGATGGCACTTCCAACATGTTAAAGAAAATATTGTCAGGGTTCATGTTTAGATACTGAAAAAGAATGTTTCGAAATAAATTAAAAATATTTCTATTTGCTCTCTAAATTTAAATTAGTAAAAGTGTTTACTAATTCAAATTATTGGCTGACTTTTTGCTTATGACTTCGTAAATTTTACTCCTAATTTAGTAGAAATTGCTATTTATCAGCAAAATTTACTAATTCAAAAGCAAAAAGTCTGTCAGTAATTCAATTAGTAATTATTTTTACTAATTCAAATTTAAAGAGTGACTATTTTTATTTAAAACTATTTATAAAATATTGTTAAATTATTATTGTTAGGCAAAGTTTATCTTAATTTAATTGAATTTTAATTTTAATTATACTTGCATTTTTGCCAACTTCTGAAATTCCAGTTGGTAGAGGCAAAATATTTCCATTTCTCTCGCACACTAGACGACATGACGCTAGTGTGTTATGATATTTTATTGAATTTGAATTATTTTCATCGATTATTGTTGTAGGATGCTCTGCTCTATGGCATACATTTTTCACGCATTTGTATGTTCTAAAAAAACTGAAATAAATTTTTTTTAATTTTATCTCTCATTTCTGGTTATTTAAAACTGGTGGAAAATGAAAGTAACATTAAAGAGTAATAAAATTTTGTAAAAATTCATATAAGTTCTGATAGTAAATCGGAATTATTAGTTTAAAAGCGTTTGCACTATACTTACGCCGGTTTTTCTGATTCACATGTCACGATAAATATGATTATTGTTACGATAAAAATTGACTGCATTGATTTCATGTTTCCTGCAAAAAACAATATTTTAAAAATTAGTAACTTTCATGTTTTTGGGAAAATGATTCAATCTTAAAAATATTATAAATAAAAAGGATTTAATTAATTTAATATTTAATCAAGGAAATTAAAAGTATTTAATTAAAATAATCTTATGTATTGAGACAACTTTTTTTTCGTTCAAATAAAAGTTTTGTTTATGTCGAATACAATTTTTATTGTAAAATAAATAAATAATTTAGTAGACTCTGTGACAAATATACTTTTATTTAACTTAGATAAATTATATTTGGTTTATATAAAATTTTTCTCTGGGTGTATTATTGATTATTATTTTATTATTTTTAATATTCTTTTATTACTATTATTATTATTTTATTATTATTATTATTATTATTATTATTATTATTATTATTATTTATTTAAATAATTAAATTAAAAAATTTTTTTCTATTTTTTTTATTGAAATACAAATAAATGAGCCACAAGTTCACATTACGCAAATTAGGAATTCAAATAAAAAATTATGTCCATTATTTTAATATTATTATTTAAAAATTAAAATATTTATAATTTATGAAATAAAAGAATTGAGAGTATGAAATTAAAATAAGTATTATTTTATTATTATAATCGGAATGTATTTTAGTAATCGAATTACATAAAATTATTACTTTGCGAATAGCTACAAAGTAGTGTTAAAGGTTTTAAAAAATTATAATTACACAAGCTATTGATGCATGCTTTTCATAATTACACGTGTGGCATGACCTTAAGTTATGTACACAGATGTGCTCCAAACAATAGTTTTTTCTTTTGCCAAAGTGTGTGTTCATATTAATTAGCAAACTTTACAATAGAATTTTTTGATTTATGGAAAATTTCAACAAAAAAAAACAAAAAACAGTATAATTGGTCATTTTTAGACATTTATTATTAACATTTTTTAAATAAACGGAAAAAAAATTTTTATTTGATTAAATTATTTGGTAATAGACAAGTAATCGGTTACTTGAATCAAATAAATTTTTTTCATTGTATGAAATTTTGATTCAAAATATTTTTCATTTTGACAAAAATACGTAAATTTTTATATTTTAAAATATAAATAATATAACAATATTATTTTAAAACTTTTGAAATGTTTAAAAAAAAAATATTTATTATATAATAATTTGTTTATAATATTATATCAATATATTATAATTATAATAATGTTTATAATATTATATTATATTATTATATTTTAAATAAGTCTTTTTATAAAGTAAGATACGTTATTAATAATTTATTATCACGGACAGGAAAGATAAAAACATGCAATATTGATTAACTAAACAATATACCAGATTGCAGGTGCGAATGTTTTATATAGGTATACTATAAAAAAATGCAGCAGACTTTATTGTAACTTATTTGAAAATTATTAAGTAAAATATAATTTCAAAGTATACGATTTAATATTTTTCATATATTCGTGTTTTCTTTTTTTATTTTTAAATTTAGGACAAAAAAACATTTTGCCATTACGATAAGGATTATGATATATGTCATTTATTATTATCACTGAGTTGAATGGCTTATTAAAAATGCAGGCATTTTATATGGGAGTAAAATAAATAATTTAAATTCAGTACTTTTGGTATAATACAAATAAGAGAAGTTCGAAAAAAACTAATAAAATTTAGGAATAAATAAATTTAAATTAAGTTAAATTTTAATGAAAAAAGAAATGTAAATAATAAAATGAATATTAACTGTAAATAATTAAATAGATAATTATGAATAATTTAAAAATAAACGATGTAGGTACACATAGTGAAAAATTAAATTTTTAAATTACATTATGTAAATAGATTGAAATTGCCAACTTTTTTGTAATTCATAATTTGAAATTTAAGTAACTGTACCAAGAGAAAAAGTTTATGTAAACTAAAAATAATTTATCTGAGTTTAATAAAAGTATATTTGCAACAGAGCCTACTGAAAATATTTGCTTTAAATAAATATTCTATTCGAAACAAGTAACATTTTTTTTTTGAACCGAAGGAAATTTTATTTGAAACAAATAAAATATTATTTGACAAGATAATATTTGCTTGCAACAAATAAAGTTTGTTTGCAACAAATAAATTTTATTTGTACCAAATAAATTTTATTTGAACCAAATAAAATTTACTTAAAACAAATAAAAAGTTTAGTTGGCTCTAAGTCAAATATTCTTTTTTTCTGCGGGTAAAAGAAAATTAGTTAATTAATAAAACAGACAATTTATGGTTGAATTAACTACAACTAACTAAATTCATATATACCTGTATTTATTTAATTTCGTTGTCACTTTTGTTTGAATCAAAATTTGCACATAACCGATGTAATGAAAATATTCGGTTAAGTAACACATGCAACTGCATGAATTTAATTCCCGGCATAAAGTTTTTCTTCTGAAAATATTAACACAAATAAATGGGAGACAATTTGTCGTGATTTTTTTAATTCTTCTTAATTATTTTTGTCTCATGAATTTCGCAATTATGCGAAATAATAATGAATTTCTACTTGTATAGAAATTGTTGTTTTCTTTCACAAAATTCAGTGCGTACAACCAGCTAGGTGAATGGTTCTACGGCAACTGCAGTTCAATCTGAAGTAAGTGCTAGACGCGACCTCTATTGCTGTCCACATTCTGTGGAGCCGTTTTACTAAGCAGTTAGTATTCCACTAGAAACTTTCTTCTTTATAAGAAAAAAAATAGGTATTCGATATTGTAGAGAGTTAGGTATAGTGTTGATATCATATGGTGAATTGTATATTATACGACGCGGAGGAGAAAAAGGGATTGTTGTTTTGATAAACGCATCCAGAAAAAAGATGTATTTCATTTAGAGGCTATACTAAACTTTTTAATTGGTTTAAATGAATTTTATTTGGACCAATTAAATTTTATTTGATTTGGTTTAAGAAGATTTTATTTGGTGCGAATAAATTTGTTTCAAATACATTTTTTCTGGTCCAAATAAATTTTATTTGGTTTGCTTTAAATATATTTTATTTGGTGTAAATAAATTTGTTTCAAATAAACTTTTTTTTGCTTCAAATAAATTTTGTTTGGACCAATTAAATTTTATTTTGTTTGGTTTAAGAGGATTTTATTTGGTGCATATAAATTTGTTTGAAATACATTTTTTTGGTCCAAATAAATTTGATTTGGTTTGCTTTAAATATATTTTATTTGGTGCAAATAAATTTGTTTCAAATGAACTTTATTTGCTTCAAATAAATTTTATTTGGTTTAAATAAGTTTGATTAGGTGTAAATCAATTTTATTCGATTCAAATAAAATTTATTTAGTCCAAATAAAATTATTTGTTTTAGTTCAAATAACTATGATTTAATGCAAATAGATTTTATTCGGTTCAAATAGATTTTATTCGGTTCAAATAGATTTTATTCGATTCAAATAGATTTTATTCGATTCAAATAAATGTTATTTTTTATTCAATAAATTGTATTTGTTTCAAATAAATTTTACTCGGTTGAAATAAATTTTATTTTGTGTAAATAAAAATTTCATTTGTACAGAATAAAATTTTGTTTTCAATCGAGTAAAATTTATTTGAACTGAATAAAATTTATTTGAACCAAATAAAATTTATTTGAACCAAATTTTGTTCAAATAAAATTTTTCTTTGGGTATTTATTGTTAATATAAAACGAACAAATTAATTTTGTTTTCATAAAGATTCAGATTTTTTGTAATAATAATATACATTCATTTGTTCAATTTCTTTATCAAAGGAAGTTGATAAAATTTTATAAATAGAGAAATGACATTTTTCTGATATGCATGATTTTTTAAATAAGAAAACAAACATATTGATTAAAAATTTAGACAAGTTTTTCGTTTTTGTTTCAAAATGAATTGTTAGTTAATTTTTCATAAGGTTTTGTTTAAAAGCTTTTGACTTATATTTTCCAAAAAAAGGCGAAAATGGTGCGAGGCTATTGTGTAGGCGTTAAACTCTTTTAAAAAAGTTTCAAAAGGTACCAAAAACAATTAGAAAATTTGGTAAAATTTTTGTATAATTATGATAATACGTATTTTTGGGAAAAAAATTATTTGACCTTGAAATGTCCTTGTTCAAGGTCATTTTGAAGAATTTGAAGGTCACCATTGAATCTTTCATCTTTTACCCAAACCCCCCACTGTGTCGGGCCCTAAATTTAGTTAAAAATATATTTTCGACTTAGGCAACTAGTTTGCTTTTTTTAAATAGTTTATTTTTAGTTCTGTTATAGCTAAAAATAATTGTTGTCAATTTATGTAATGACAATTTAATTAATTAATTTGATTGATTAATTTGATTAATTAATTGAATTAATTATGTAATTGTTTTCTCCTTTTAATTGCTATTTCGAAAAAAACATTTAAATAAATCATTAAACTGTGATAAAAAAATAATTACATTATCAGTGATAATATTCTGTTTGTTAAATTCTTCTAATTATATGTAATTAAAAAAATGCGGGACCAGCAGTTTTTTTTTGAAATATTTGCAATTTAACGTGACACACATGATAGAATTATTCTAATTAGTTTTTATTTTTAGCTTCTTATAAAACAAGAAATTATAAATGTTACAAGTCATCAAAAATAGATTTAAATATTACAACTAGCATAGGTTTTTTTTCGACGTAAAATAAAATAAATTAATTTCCCTAAAGTTTGAAACATTCAAAGGGAACGAAATTTTTTCCTTTGTTAATATTTTCAAAAAGAATTATACTTTAAACATAACCTAATGTAAATTTAACATTTCCTCAGTTAAATTTTTTTTTAATTACAAAATAATTTTTTGTAGAAAAATACAAAGTAACGGGAGTAATTAAAATACAATCGTCGTTCATTTGAACGTCCGTAACTTTAAGAATGTAATAATAAAACATAATTTAGTTCATAAAGATCTTAAAACTATTTGTTTGTCCATTAGGCCAAACAAATAGGTTTAAGATCTTTATTAACTAAATTGTAAAGGCTTTGAAAATTTCTTTTATTAATAAAATATAATGTAATAATGGAAAATAATAATAATAGTAATAATATTAATAATAATAATAATAATAATAATAATAATAATAATAATAATAATAAAAATAATAATAATATTGGCAATAATAAATAAATATAGAATAGAATAAAATTTAAAACGCGAATAATTTTTTCTTAAGACAGACAATGGATAATAAAATAAAGTGTTCATCAGATATTTATTTAATTCAAGAAATTTATTAGCATTATAAGTATTTTTCACACATTTTTTTTGTATTTTATTTATTCGTAAACGCCGTGGGTACACAATTTTTTGAACCCTTTCATATACATAATTTACTCAATAAGTATAATTATGTACTTAATTATTAGGTAATAATTACAGTCCGAATTTACACTTTTTTCTTATTTTTAATCCGAACTTGACGCTAAATGCTAAATAATACATATTACATAAATATGCACTGCACAAATAGTTATTTACAAAATTGGCCTCTACAAACTAGTTGGTTCCAGAAGATCAAGATAAATAATCGATTATAATAATTGTCATTATTTTATATTCAACTGCTGCGTATTTTTATTCAATTATAAATTTATACGTTTAATTGCGTATTTATATATACTTTTGCCAATGGAAAATTAAATTTTATAGTAAGAAGAATAGATTACCTATATAGATTTTTTTTGTGTTTTTAGAATATTTTTTTCAAATTAAAAACAAGGGTTAATAATAAAAATGCAGTTGAATTGATATCACGTTTTGAGTCTTTCAATTTTTTTCTTTGAAATTAAGAAGAGTAGATTTTAAATGAAAATTTTTTCTCAATTTATTCAATTTATTGATTGAGGTGTTAAAAATAGAAATTTACAAAACTATATATTTAGTTCGAATTTTCTTGTCCAAATTCAAAACTTTTTTTTGTTTAGTAAATCAGTATTGCCAATTATTTACATATAATGTGAAGAAAACTATTTTTCGAAATTAATTTCGATAATTATGTTCCTTAGTGGCATTGTCATTTTTCGGCCATGAAGTTATTAATTTCCATGTTTCAAAAATTTTGAACTTTTCAAACGAACGAAATATTTTTCAAAATAAATATTTTCCAATATAAATATTCATTTAATATTTTCAATATAAATATTTTATAAATTTATTACAAATATTTTTTCAATAAATTTAATAAATTACTCACTGGAAAAATAATAAAATAATTATTGTTTTTTTTAATATTTATTCAGAAATTAAAAAAATTATGAAAATCGTAAATATATTAACAAATTTTAAAACTTTATAAATTATTAATTAATACTAGACTTAACATTATTATCATAAAATTATAATTTAAGGAAAAGATAAATAAATTTTGCTTATTGAAACGTTCAGAACTTTGAGGACATTAATTTCTCTAAAATTTTGAATTTTTTTGAAATTTGAAATATAATTGAATATTAATTGAATAATAATTGAAACCCACCCATTGAAAAATTATTTAGTTATTTAATTCAATAGGTAAATAATAATTTTTTAAATAAAAAATAAAAAGAGTAACATAAAAATATCCTCGTTCATTTGAACATATTCGAAACTTTGGAAACATTATCTCGAGTTTTTTTCTTTGAACATTATAATAATGAAGTAGAATTTAAATTGTTGTTGACATCGACAATGAGGCGGCGCAATTGTTCACTTTTATATTTTTTTTTATTAGTATTATTATACTTGTAAATGATTTGCTCACATTGAAAGTTTAATTGTTCTTGTTGCTAGTAAGAGTGACGTCAAGTGGTTCGTCGATAGATTGAGAAGATGGACTAAGATCCGCTTGAGTAGTCGTGGATAGATGATGAAAGAGAGACGCTATTGGTGGGTGTCGTGGAGGATGAGGTCCTTTAATCGTGAGGTCCATCTCAGACTCTTGCGGTCTTTCTCTCATTATTATTCCAGGCGTATCGCTTTCAGAGGGGCTGCTCGATGATCTTGGTGGTGAGCCACATCCACATTTAACTCTTTCTGGTGACTTGTCGCAGGTCATCGAGAAACTGTAAATATTTTTGTTGTGTGGAATAATTTCTTAGAGGATTTTTAATTTCTAAAACAGTCTTGAACAAGTTTGGGGGACAAATAATTAACGACAAAAAAAAAACATGTTCAAGATTTTTTAGAGGGGGGGGGACAAATAATTAACTAAGTAAATTAATTATGTTTCCCCAAACTGTTCAACACTTTTTGGGAGGAACAAATAATTAACTAATTAAATTAATTATTTGGCCCCAAACTGTTCTAGACTTTCGTTTCCGGGAATTTGATTTCCTTTGTTCTTTCTTTCTCGAATTTTGTGAAAACAAGGGTTTTGTACTTTTAGAAATATACTTTTTATGTCCCTGAAAGTAGCGTCGACGCTAATTTTAATTTAGGGTGTCTACTAACAGGGAAATAGCCGGGAGTTTAATTTGACTGGGAAAAACCGGGAATAAGCCAGGAATTTTTTCACCGAATGAAAAAAAAGTTTTATTATTTTAATTTGTTTTTAAAAAATCGCTTTTTATTTCAATTTTTATAGATATTTATACTGTTCTCTAAATTTTAATTAGTTAAAAATAATTAATTTGATAGTAAAAAATCAGTCACTGATTCAAATTGTAGTATGTAAATAAATTTTTAAAAAATTATCGATTTAATAGAAATCTTGTGAAATTCAACTGAAAATAATTAAATTTGTTAAAGAATTTCATTAAAAACTTTTTAACAAATCGAATTTTCAAAGTATTTTAACTTAATAATTGATAAATAATTGAATTTTATAAAGAGTCACATTCTAATGTATTCATGTTTCTTAGTGCGAAGATTAATAATTGAAATTTTTATTAGTTAATTTAAAAAAAGATACACACTTAAAATTTTTTAATAAAATTGAATTTTTGCAAAGTGTTTTTGAAAATTCTGAAAAATATGATTTTTGAAATTTTTCAATTCGATTGTTTTAAGATATTTGAATTTTTATAAACAAATAATTGAAAATTTTTGAAATAATTGAAATTTCTTTACATTCTATTAAAAATAATTAAATTCTTTTAAAGAATTTTATTTAAATTTTTCGAAAATAATCAAGGGAAGTTAGTCACCGTAATTATAATTTTATTTTTAAAAATTTCTTCGCAATATCAATTATTTTCATAAATAGTAACTCATTGTTGAATTTCAATTATTTTTAATACAATTTTAATCGAATTCCTCGAAAAGTGTAATTATTATTAAAAATTTTATTAAAATTCGTCGAAAGAATTCAATTATTTCTAGAAACTGTAAAAAAAAGTTCTTCTCAAGAATTTAATTATTTCCATAAATTGCAAAAATCTTCAGATTTACTAAATTCTTTTGAATATTATTTTCAAAAAATATTCTTCACACAAATTCAATTATTTTCATAAATTTCCATAAAATTTTAAGAAACAATTCAATTATTTTCAAAAGTAATAAAATTCTTCGCAGAAATTCAATTATTTTTGAAAAATCTAAAAAAAATTGTCGTCAACATTTCAATTATTTTAATAAATGAATAGCAAAATTTTTCGAAAAAATTCAATTATTTTCAAAAATTTTAATAAAATTCATGGTAAAATTTCAATTATTTAAAAAAAGTTTTATTAAAAATGTAATTATTCTTAAAAATTTAATTTCAATTCATCGAAAGAATCAATTATTTAAAAAAATGTTTTTTCAAAATTCTTTGGAAAAGTTCAATTATTTACAAAAAATATTAGAATTTTTTACAGGAATTAAATTATTTTCAAATATTTTAATAAAGTTCGAAAGAAATCAGTTATTTTAAATACAATTTTAATTAAATTTTTTTATATATAATTCAATTATTCTTTTAGATTTTAATAAAATTGTTCGAAAGAATTCAATTATTAAAGATAAATAACAAAATTATTCCTGAAAATTCAATTATTTTGAGGCATTTTGAATAAACTTTATTGCAAAATTAAATTATTTTCATAAATAACAATATTCATCATAAGAATTCAATTATTTCTAAAAGTAATACATTTCTTTTTATAAATTCAATTAATTTAAAAAATTCTAATAAAATCGTTTGCAAGAATTCAATTATTGTCAAAAATTTTAATTAAATTCTACGCAAACATTCAATTATTTTCATAAATATGTAATAACATTCTTTGGATGGATTGAATTACTTTTATAAATAGTAAAATTCTTTGAAGAAATTCAATTAGTATCAATACATTTTAATAAAATTGAATTAATCAAATTTTCAATTGTAATTATGAACAAACTTGAATTGGTTAAAAAAGGTAATGTTTTTTTGTACCCATGTGGTGGAGGTAGAATTCGATAGTCTCGACACGCTGGCACAGTGATAGGTCCATTTTCGGTTAATCTATCGTGTCCGGAAGCAGGCGGCGAAATTTGCGGAGTCGTGGGAGCCGATGGGGGTGGTGGGGACACGTCTGGACGATCCATCCCCGGAGGCGGAGGCCTCAAAAGAAGTGGTGCAGCACTTCCCAAACCCAAACATCGCATTCTCCATGCGTCCTGCAATAATTGTAAACGCGCTTGTTTCCTCCATTTTGCTCTTCTGTTCTGAAACCAAACCTAAAAAGACAAAGAAAAAAAGGTTTATTCTTCGCAATTATTTTATTATTTTTTGACTTTGGGAAAATGTATTTTAAATTGAATTGATACTCTCTAAATCTGAATTAGTAAAAATGTTTACTAATTTGAATTAGTGACTGACTTTTTGCTTTTGAATTAGTAAATTTTACTAATAAATAGTAATTTCTACTAATTTATTAGTAAACTTTACTAATTAAAGCAAAAAGTCATTTGCTAATTCAAATTAGTAAACTTTTTTACTAATTCAGATTTAGAGAGTAGGTCCATGAAGTTAGCGTCGACGCTTAGCGTCTAATACTATTTTCTTGGGGTTTTTAGTGTTGAAAATACTACTAATTTTACTGTTTTTATTTACTCTGTAAAAAAGTTCTAAATTAGAGTTAATTTCGGTATTAAAATAGAACCAAATTTACAATGTGCGTAAAATTGAAATAAATGAATAAATAAATAAAATTCTTAAATTTTCCGTTTTTAATTCCCAAAGTAAATGAAAGAAATAAAATTCGTTACATTTTCATCTTTTGAAACTCCAAATAATAGTTTTTGACGCTGAGCGTCGACGCTAACTTCAGGGATATTTAATTAAAATTGAAAATTATAATTAAAATTAAATATTTGAGAAATTTTCTGTTAAAGAGAGTTTTAAATGATGTAGAGTTTTTAATAATGTAGTTCATCACATTAATTACCTGCACTCGGGCTTCCGAAAGGGAGATTCGAAGTGCAACTTCCTCTCGTAAAAATACATCTGGATAGTGAGTTTTTTGAAAAAGTGACTCCAATTCCTGCAGTTGTTGTGGTGTAAAGGTTGTTCGATTACGTCTCTGTTTGAATTGTACCAAAATTATTTTTGTTAAATTCTCCTTAGTGTGGAAAAATTGATATTGGAAAACAAAAACAAAAATTGATGCAGATATTATTAGAACTGGAAGAGTTTTTTTAAAATTTTATTGCAATATTTTATTCGCACACCCAGAGAAAAGATTTATATTTGACTCAGAGTCAACTAGACTTTTTATTTGTTTCAAATAAATTTTATTTGGTTTAAATAAGATTTTCTTTGATTTAAATTAAATTTTATTTGGTTTAAATAAAATGTTATTTGGTTTAAATTAAATTTTATTTGCGACTCAAATATATGTTTTATTTATGTCGAATGAAATTATTATTTAAAACAAATAAATAATCTACAATATAGCGATATAATTCTTCTGTACGAGGAAGAAAAATAAATAATACATATAAATAGAAATTCAAGTACACATGTGATTTATTTAGTTTTAAACTGAATCAATAATTAATCTTTTACATTCTCATCACATGGGAAGGTATTATTTTACGTTGGTGAAGTTTACAACGTTTATAATCAACGATTTAGAAGAAAAAGTATTTTTCTACTTATATTTTTATATAAAAAATGATTTGCATAATTATTTGTTTATTAATTTGAAAAAGAAAAATTTGTAAGTAAAACATTTTGTTATTTTTGTTAGAAAAAATTTGTTTTTTCGTTCAATCGTTGATCATAAACGTTGTGAACTTTACCGAAGTATTATTTTTTATATAAATCGATTACATGTGAGTTTTGACAACCTTAATTTTATGGTTTTAAAAGTATTATTAGTTATCTTTTTGCAATAATATAGTTAATTCAATATTATGTAAAATTGGTTAATAATGTACTATTAATTTTTATAATTTTTGTAAAATTATAGTAAATTGAAATAATTATATATATATACACCCAGAGAAAAATATTATTTAAACCAAATATATTTTATTTGAATTAAATAAACGTATATTTGTCTCAGAACCAACTAGACTTTTTATTTCTTTTAAATAAAAATTTTATTCGACATAAATAAAACATATATTTGAGATAAATAAAATTTTATTTAAACCAAATAAAATTTATTTCAAACAAATAAAAAGTCTAGTTGGTTCTGAGACAAATATACCATTTCTCTGGGTGTAATTGTGTATATAAAAAATAATGATAGATTTCATATCGTTCCAATTGTAATGAAAATAAAAATTGTTAGTAAACTCTAATGAAATAAACATTACCGTTAACATTTTTGTACCCAATTGAGTATAAAAATATAAAATACCAGTTTAGTGAGATAGTCACTATCGTGTCTTGGATAACTTTGTTTAAAAACAGATAATAGAAATGTTTTTATTTAAATAACTATTTTTCTTTTCTTTTCTTATTTGCAATATTGGAACTGCAATTTTAAATTCATAACTATTTTCAAATTTTTTATCTGGAATTTCTAAATGTGAAATTTAAATTAAATTTTTTTAAGCTTATTTTTGTTTAGATGATTCAAATCTGTTAATAGATTTTTTTCGAATGGCAATAATCTTCTTTTGCAATAAAAGCTTTTTTTATTTTTTAAACAATTTCTATACAATTTTTCAACCAAAAGATAAAATAATTTAATTTAAAAAATCATAGAGAAATGTTACACTGTAAAAAATTTAGGGAGTTAACGGACTCGGGAGTTGGGAGTGAAATTTTTCGAGTTAAAAATCAACTCCAAAAGAGAGTTAATTTCTAACTGCCCTCATTCAACACCCGCGCGAGTTATTTTTTCCTTGGGGAGTTAGCATTTGGGTGTGAAATTTTAACTCTCTTTATTTAACTCCCCTGGCATTAACTCCCCAATGGGTGCAACTTTTATAGACCCCCCGGGGGAGTTAAAATTTAACTCCCTTTTTTTACAGTGTATGTTTGACATTTATTGCACTTTTTGTTTTTTACAGATTAATTTTTTATTAATTTTGGACAAAATGCCTTAGGAATTAATTAATTAAATTCGTTTAGTGAATAATTAAATAATTAAATTTGTTTTGGAATTAATTAATTTATTAATTAAATTAAATTAGGAATTAATATTAAATTATTTACTTACTCTCTAAATTTGAATTCGTAAATATATTTATTAATTTGAATTAGTGATTGACTTTTTGCACTTGGATTAATAAATTTTACTAATAAATTGAAAGAAATTACTATTTATTAGTAAAATTTACTAATTCAGAGGCAAAAAGTCAAACACTAATCTAAATTGGTAAATATTTTCACTAATTCAATTTTTGCTTTTGGATTAATATATTTTACTAATAAATTAGTAGAAATTACTATTTATTAGTAAAATTTATTAATCCAAAAGCAAAAAGTCAGTCACTAATTAAAATTAATAAATATTTTTACTAATTCAAATTTAGAGAATATTTACGTATTATTTAATTATTATTTACTGAATTTGAATAAATATTTATTGGTGGATTGACAAACTTTGCGATTAAATAAATAATTTTGTTGTAAATTTAAAAATTGTGACGTAGCAGAGCAAATCTTTGGTTGTCTGTCATAAAAATGTAAATTTATTTTATCAACTCAAGAAGAAAAATTTTTGTGATCTGAAATTTGTTTTACTCTTCTATTTCTATTGTTTTTTAATTTTTTTTCTTAATTACTATATTATTTGTTAAAAAGACTTTTTTTAAAACTTTTATTAGTTTATTTATACACGAAAATCTGTTAAATTTATTTAAATATTTTGCTTATAATTTTACTTTAATTATAAAGATTAGAATTTTATGTCGTCAACACTGTTTGCCTGAATTTCTATAAATATGAAATTTTAAATTACTCAACTGTTTGTTGAGTATTATTTTAAAAACTTAAAGTATTTTAAATACTTAAATATTGTCGCAGTAGTTATACTTTTCAGTAAAGAAAATATAGTAAAAGTTTTGGTCGCGATTTTCATCATAAAAGCACAATTAGTGTTTTAAATATTTTTCTTATCCGAAAATTAAAATAAGCTTCAGTGATATTAATTTGAATCCGAGTACGATCTTCAGGGTGACATTTCTTCAACAACATTTCCCTGATTCTTTGCCATTTTTCAATTAAATATTTAAATTAAAATAATTTAATTTAAATAAATTAAATTTTTCAATTAATTATTTCTGTTTGTAATTTTCTCTTATTCAAAATCTCATTCTTCACCAATAAGAAAAATTGAAATCAAACTAATTAAAAAGTTGAAACCTACACTGACCTGACGACGTCGACCAAACATATATTCCGTTAGAAGATCCGCTTGTGGTCCCAGAGGTGAAAGATACGGTCCTGCCATTATCTTCAAAAAAATATCTTCAAAACTTTCTTCACTTTCGCAAAAAAGTTGAGACACAGAATAAAGAAGAAATTCTCTTCTTCTTATGAAAGAAACACTGAAGATGTTTTTTGTTTTTTTTATTCAGTGTGGAATTTTAAAACTTTTTTTTTTTTTTTTTCGATGAAAAGAATGAAAAAAAAGAGAAAAACCTTCACCTGCTTTTCTTTTTTGCCAAAAGCGTTTGCAATTACTCGCGAGATGGCGAGAAACTGAAGCCAGATTTGCGGGAATAACGAGGAACGACCCTCAGCATCCAAGAATGGTGCAGGGGTTGTTAGGGGTTGTTGCACGTTGATTGGCGCCCTCCATCGCGGAGGCGGAGACTCGTTATCGGGGGTGTACACCCCCACTGTCGCGAAAATTTGCTAAACCACCACACGAATAAATCCGATCTAGAATACCATGATAGATCGGATTTATTCGTGGTGGTTTGGCAAATTTTCGCGACACTCGCAAAAAAAAAATAATAGAAATAGATGTTTCGATCGTTTTCAGTTGATGGACAAATTTGTATAGATTAATATCTCTATTGACAATTTAGTTCTATTGGGAGCGAATCGATTTTTTGTTTTAGTTATTTTAATTCTCCATTTTTGAATTTTTATTTATTTTATGCCCGAATATTTTATTTTCGCTATTTGTTATTTTCGTCCGAAATATATTAGTAGTTTTTATGTCCGTAAAGTTTTGAATTTTCAAATGTACGAAATTTATTCATTTCTTCTTTAAATTTGAAATTTTTGTGAAAAATAAAATTGTGGAAATAAATAAATAAGAAGTAAGTTTAAAATTCGTCCGAAACCTTTCGGTTTCGGACAAATTTTAACCTTGCTTGTTATTTTTATTTCTTTATCTTTATTTTTACTCTGAAAAAAAGTTTTTTTTTATTTGAATAAACGATAATTTGTCTCTTATGAAATAAATATTTTCTTGAATCAAAAAATTTTTTCCTTAACTCAAACAAATTGGATTTAAACCAATAATTTTTGTATCAAATAATTATTGTTTATGTTAATTAGATGGTATTTGCTTCAAATACTGAAATTATTTGATAAAATTCAAGATTTAAATAAAATTTTTTTGATTCAAGTAAATATTTATTTGATAATAGACAAGTAATCGGTTATTTGAATCAAATAATTTTTTTCAAGGCAGTACCTATTAAACCTACTAAAAGTTTACTATAAAAACTTTAGTGAAATAGTGAAATTTTACTAGAAATTAATTAAGTTTCTTAATTTTTACTAATTTTAATCAAATAAAATTTGTTGCAAAAATTCAATTATTTTCAAAAATAATAAAATTCTTCGCTGAAAGTCAATTATGTTAAAAAAAGGAAAAATTCTCGTTAAAATTTCAATTTTATCTTTATAAATAATAAGATTCTCCTAAATTCAATTATTTATAAAAATTTTACTAAAATTCTTGAAAAAATTTCAATTATTTTCAAAAATAATCAAATTCTTTGCATAAATTTAATACAATTTTTCCTAAGAATTCAGTTATTTTTATAAATAATAAAATTATTTTCAGGAATTTCAATTATTTCTAAAAACTTTAATAAAATTCGTTGCAAAAATTCAATTATTTTTATAAATAAAAAAAATTGCTTGTAGGATTTCAAATTATTTTCAATTCAATTTTAATTGTATTTCTGGAAAAATTCAATTATTTTTAATAATTTTGATAAAATTCTTTATGAGAATTTAATTTTTAGAAACATTTTAATTATTCATTAAATTTTTTATTTTTGTATTTAAATAATTAAATTCTCATAGAATTTTCTAATAAAAATTGATTTAAAAATGAATTTCAGTTTAAATTTTAGATAATAATTAAATATGAAAAGTATTATAGTGTGACTTTTTAGAAATAATTAAATTTTGAAAAGGATTCAAATTAAAACCTTTAAAATAATTTGAATTTTTTATACTTTTAACTAACAATTCTGTAGAATTAATTATTTTGAAAAAGTTTAATTTAATTTTTATTAATTACATATATATTTGAAGTTTTTATTTTGTAACATATAATTATTGGAAGAATTTCGGAATAATCGAAATGCTTCCTTTCGCCTAATTTTCTGAAATTTATTACTACGTCTTTTGAATTTAAAATGTTCGAAAAATATTATTTAAAAAAAATGATTTATTTTGGTTGCTAATTTTAAATCTCCAATAACGCCATGGAAATTGAAAAAACTTATGAATGAACTAAACTATTTTCTGAAAATTCCCGAAAAATTACTTTGTTAATTAATTAAAAAACAATAATAAAAACAAGTTCGCTTTGTTAATTGATTGAATAAAAAATATTCATTATTAACAAAGTAGAAAAATCAATTAAAAAGAGAATTGCATTAAAAATTTTCATTAGCGAGAAAATTTTCTGGAAAAGGAGAAATAAAAATTTTCTAGAAAAAGGATAAAGAAAGAACGAGAGGGGAAAAAAGAGAGAAAAAGAGAGGGAAAAAGTAAGAGAGAAAGAATGAGAGGAAAAGAGTGAGAGAGAGAAAAAGAGAGATATTGTATAATAAAAAAAAAGAAATAAGTAAGGTGGCTTTTTTCTTAGATAAAAAATAGGGGGTGAGATGGTAAGGGACGGTAAAGGAAGAGACGTGATGGAAAATAAGAAGGACGAAGAATACGCAATCTTTTTAATTATGAAAACAGGGCTTTGTGTTTCATTTTGTTTTGTTGTCAGTGCGCTATTCTATTCGGGTTTTTATATTATAACGCGGCGCGGGAGGCTGATGGGTCAGGGGTGGAGGGAAGCTGCCGAGGGGGTCCAAGGGGGTGTTAGGGTGAGATTGCTTTAGTAATGAATTACATGGCCTGCAGCTATGTGCCTCTGTCTGATGCTGCCCGACCATTACCCAACATTTCTACTAGTTTTCTGGGCCCGGCACGAAAAAAAAATATAACCACACTTTTTTTTAACAAACTTTTCTTAAAACACTTTTTTCCAAACATGTCTTTTTTCAAATATACGTTTTTTCAAAACATTGGCCAATTTCGAAAAAAATTCTGTTCTTATCAATTGTTTGATACGATTTTTTGTCTCAATTTGATTTCCTTAGAAAAATTGTGTTATAAATATAATTTTAGTTCTTTTTTCGAAGCTTTTATATTAGCAGGGTTGCCACAGGTCAGGGAAATCAGGGAAAAATCAGAGATTTTTATTAAAATCATAAAATTCTTCCTCAAAATTTAATTATTTTTAAAAATTTTAATAAAACTCTTAGCAAAATTTCAATTATTTTAAAAAATAATAAAATTGAGGGGACAGATGCAATAACGGACGAGGCGCTCGGACTGATCTCTCACTACAACGAGAAACTAAAAAACTTGTCTGTAAAATAAATTTTCTCGAAAGAGAAGAAGAAATTAAATAAAGCACAAGTTTTCTCAAAATTATTTTCCTTAATTTACACAATTTTTTGCTCGAATCAGTTCGAGCACCTCGTTTGTTATTGCATCTGTCCCCTCAATTCTTCGCAGAAATTCAATTATATGTTTAAGAATTTAAAAACAATTCTGGAAAAAATTTCAATTATCTTTATCAATAATAACATTTTTCTCCAAAATTAAATTATTTTCAAAACTAATAAAAATCCTCGCAAAAATTCAATTATGTTTAAAATTTTTTTAAAAATATCAATTATCTTTATCAATAATAAAATTCGTCTCTGAAATTCAATTGTTTTCAAAAATTTTACTGAAATTCTTGGGAAAATTTCAATTATTTTCAAAAATAATAAAATTCCTTGCAGAAATTCAATTATGTTCAAATTTTTTTTCAAAATTTGGACAAAATTTCAATTATCTTTGTAAATAATAAAATTCTCCTAAATTCAATTATTTTTAAGAATTTTACTAAAATTCTTGGTCACATTTCAATTATTTTTAAAAATAATAAAATTTCTCGTAGAAGTTTAATAACATTTTTCCTAAGAATTCAATTACTTTTATAAGTTCTAAAATTTTTCGTGAGAAATTCAAATACTTAAAAAAAATATAATTCTTTGCAAAAATTTACTTATTTTCATCATAAATAATAAAATTGTTCGCAAGGCTTGAATTATTTTCAATTTTAATAAAATTTCTGAATATAATTGAATTATTTCCAAAAATTTTAATAAACTTCTCCCCAAGAATTCAATTATATTTATAAATAGAAAAATTATTCTCAGAAATTTCAATTATTTTTAAAATCTTTAATAAAGTTTGTTGCAAAAATTCAATTATTTTCATAAATAATAAAATTACTTGTAGGACATCAATTATTTTCAATTCAATTTTAATTGTATTCGTCCAAAAATTCAATTTTTTTAAAAAGTTTTGATAAAATTCTTTATGAGAATTTAATTTCAGAAACATTCAATTATTTATTAAATTATTTATTTTTGTATTTAAATAATTAAATTCTCGTTAAATTTTCTAATAAAAATTGATTTAAAAATGAATTTCAGTTAAAATTTTAGAGAATAATTGAATATTAAAAGTATTATAATGTGAATTTTTAGAAGTAATTGTATTTTGAAAAGGGTTTAAATTAAAATCTTTGAAAATCTTAATTTTTCATACTTTTAACCAACAATTCTGTACAAATATATTTTTTTTAAGTTTAATTGAATTTTTTTGAAATTATTTCAAGTTTTTATTATCTAATAAAAATTTAATTGAAGAATTTCTGAATAATCGAGAATTTCGTAAATTTGATTTCTAAGCAAATGGAGTTGAAAATTCTCAAAGAATTTTTTTAAAAATTATTAAAAATAATTGATTTAAAGAAGAATTTTAGTTAAAAATTCTAGAAAATAATAATTGAATTGAAGTGATGAAATTAATTTTGAAAACGTTACAGAAACAATATTCTTATAATATAAAATGATGATTTTATCATTGGGTCATCTTTAATTATTATAAAACGTGAAGAAATACGAGTTTTCAACTCAGAATGATCGATATCTTCAAGTTTTGTATAATAATATTCTTATAAGTTGTTGAATTTGAAAAAGGTTTGAATATGAAATTATTAAAATCTTAATTCCTTTGTAAAAATAATAATGTTTAAATATTTATCCAAAAAAGAAGTTACTAATGTTTTCGAATAATATTACAATTAAAGAAATTCGTAAATAAATGTTATAGAACATTTTTTGAGTATCTAATTATTTTGAGGATGAATCAGAATATTCTTTAGGGTCAGGCAAAAATTAAAATTCTTTTCAAAATGTTGGTTTTAAACAAACGAATATTCAACTTTAAAATTTAATTTTCAAAATTAAATGGGTGTTAATTGTAGTGTCAGTTTCACTTTTATATGTTGTTGTTGCCTTTTACTGCAGTTTGAAACTAACTAATATTCATAGTTGGTAAAAAATTTCCTTTATTAGATCGTTTGAAACTTATAGGTCATAATTATGTTAAAATTGTAACTTTGTTATTTTATTGAAATCGATTTTTGTTCCAATCGGAAGAAAGAAAATAATTAAGTTTCTTTTTGTATTTCTTTCTGTCTACTATGCTCATGTACTGGATCTAAACTCTGCGATCGATATGACCGGTCGTTCAAGCATGACTATTCTAAATTTGTCATTTATCCTAAGAGTTAATTTCCACGTACTGAAATGCCAGACGATAGATGTCATTATTCAAGCGTTGAGGTTTTTTGTATTGCAGGCGGTCATTAACTAAAATGTCGACTGCTGCCGTGTATAGATAACGGTTTTGAACCACGAAACTTTCGTCAATTTTCACTCACAAGTAAAGTTTTCATATACACATGTCCATCTCGCTTTGGCAAATTATCCTTTGCTGTTAACAGGTAGGAAGCTGCTGGTTAATCTCCCAGACTGTTAGAAGTAAATTCAAATTTTGAAATGAATACACACACACACATATCCTTCTCATGTTAAATATTTTCAAATAGAATTCGAAATAAATAGAATCAGTGCTTGTAATTAATAAATACTGTCGTGTCATTAATTTTTATTTTTATCATATTCTCTTTTCTCGAGAAAAGTTCTATTTTCTTTCAATTCATTATACAGTGTTTTTAAAAGGAATTTGAGAAAATGTTTAATTGAAAGCATTGTGAAATCAGATCATGACTAAAGTAAATAAAGCGTGGGGGAATGTCATGGACATTTCACTCTTGTCACCACACGCTTATGTAAGAAAAAAGAAATAAATTCTTTTTTCGTTTTTTCAATGTTGTTTATTTATTTTGATGGTGAAAAAATTTTTTAGGATCATGTAAAAAGCTAATAAGTGACACAGAAACTTTCATTTTTACGAGTAGAGAGAATGTCTGGACACGAGAAAGAAATAAAAATGACTCAAAATAAGGGAAATCAGATGGTGCAATTCCTTGCTGGTATTGGTGGTGAGTTCCATGAAACATATTTCCCCCGGAATATTAGAGAAAAAACACTAATTATATTATAAAAGAAAATTAAATTTAAAAAAAATTTAAATTAATTCAAGAAAATATTACGAAAAATTAACTAAGAAAAAAAATCAATTAAAGAAAATATTCAGTAATGGAAATATTAATTAATTAAAATATAGATGCATCAATTCCTTGAATATTACAGTTTTTCTGCAAATATCAAATCGAGACAAAAAACGAATCAAAATGTTGCTTCGCAACACTTTTGCTTCGTTTTTTGTCTCAATTTGATATTTGCCGAAAATTTGTGATATTAAAGAAAATATTATTTAAAGAAAATAGTAATTAACGAAAAAATTAATTGATGAAATATTGATGAAATTAATTAACGAAAGTATTAATTGAAGAAAATATATTTTATTAACGAAAATTTTAATTAATGAAAATAATAATTCTAGTGTAGTTATTAATTATTAACCTTGACTTGTTGTTACACATAGATTTTACAAAAATAGAATTGAAATTTTTTAATATTTCCTTTTAGTTAAAATTTGCCATTGTATTACAAAATAATTACTAATCTTTTTAAATCTGTCTATGAAAAAATAATAAAAGATATTCAAGTTTAAAATCATTTTTAAAACAGTGATTAAAAATCTGTATTTAATAACACTGTGTTACAAGAAAACATTTTATCATAAATATTTTGTTATCTGCAGGTAATAAAGTCGTTAAAATGTTTTTTATTCAAGCTGAAAAACTGTTTTTAAGAATTTTTTCATCTGTATGATATTTGAAGAATTTTATTCATTTTTGTGAAGTTTTTAAAGTTTTAGAAATTTTTTTTAAATTTCAGTTAATTTCGTAAAATTAGGAATTATTTTTTTCTTTGTTGCAAACCTCTTTTTGTAACGTATACAAAGTTTTGAGGTCTCTGAAGTTAGCGTCAATTCTAAGCGTCAAAAAAATTCCTTTCTGTGAAACCAAAAAAAAAATGTTCAAATTTTGAGTTTAAATAATTAAATGAATAGCTTTGGAATTTTAGTTGTGAATAAAAGCTGTAAAATTAGTGTCATTTTTGTCTCTAAAAACCAAAAAGTAGTTCTTGACGCTGATTGTCGACGACAACCTTGGGGACTTGAATTTAAGTCTGTGAAGTTGACGTCAATGTTAAGCGTCAAAATAAAAAATTTCCTTCTGCAAATCCAACAAAATTAACAATTTTTCCATAAATTTTGAGTTCAAATAGTTAAATGCAGAGTTTTGGAATTCTAGTTGTGAATTTAAGCAGTAAAATTAGTGTCATTTTTATCTCTAAAAACCAAAAAGTAGTTTTTGAATGTCGACGTCAACTTCAGGGACTTGTGTTTAGATTTCTGAAGTTAGCGTCGATGTTAAGCGTGAAAATAAAAAGTTCTTTCTGTAAATCTAACAAAATTAGATAATTTTTTCAAAAATTTGGTGTTTAAACAGTTAAATGGAAAGTTTCGGAATTATGGTTGTGAATGAAAGCAGAAAAATTAGTATAATTTTTATATTTAACGACCTAAAAGTATAGTTCTTGACTCTTAGTGTCGACGCTAACTTCAGGCTAAAGTTTTGAGTAAAGTTTACCACTATAACGATCAAGGTAATGTACATAGATCAGCTCTTAATTTTTCATTTCTGTAACACAGTGAAAGTAATAATAAAAGTTGAAAGTAAAAATAAAAATAGAAGTAAAAGTAAAAAGGCCACAACAAATAACCTTCAATTATTATATAAAGGTCTATAATATTTCAAAAAACTTCATTTTGTAAAAGTAAAAAGAAAGAAAATCAAAAGTAAGAGTAAAAATACAAATAAAAGTAAAAAAGAAAAGTAAAAATTGAAACGAAAGTAAACAAATAAATTGGATTTTAATATAATGCGGAATTCGGCAGCTTGCAACTTGATGGTAGCGTGCGGATCATACCAGGCTTGGTCATCACCATCATTACCCCACTTAACCAGCAAGGAATCACCATTTCCTGTAACTGACGACCAAGGTACTTGGATTGTAACTTTATTTCTCATTGGCGACTTCCTCGGCAGCTTATTCAACCCCCTCCTAATCGACCGAATAGGCCGCAAGTACACTCTACTGATCTCATCTCTTCTACTGCTAATTGGTTGGCTCCTGATAGTGCTGGCCGAGAACTACATTTGGTTATATCTGGCAAGATTTATCGGTGGTGTCGGTCAAGGCAGTATCTTTAATTCTTTAGTGATTTATTTAGCGGAAATATCAGAGAAACAGATCAGAGGAACCTTGATTAACATCATGCGGGTAGGAAAGTACGTTGGTATATTTATCTCATCATCGATTGCCGCATACTTACCGTACAGTATCTTAAATTTATCCTCTATTATATTGACTGTAATTGTAGTTGTGATTGTTCTTCTCCTACCCGAAACGCCGTATTATTATTTAATGAAAGGCGAAGACGAGAAAGCGATCAAGTATCTCATGTTGTTGCGGGGTCTTTCGTCGCCGGAAAGTTTGCATTTGGAGATAAAGAATATGAAAATGACAATAGTGGAGGATCAGAAGAATAATGGATCGGGTTTTCGGGAATTGTTTGTGAAAAATTATAATAGAAAGGGACTGATGATTTTGACTTGTTTGAAAGTTACGCAATTGTTGACTGGGTACGGGGCCATTATCTACTATGCTCAAGAGATACTCAGCCTCAGTGGTTCGACAATTGAGGCTGGAGTGGGTGTGATGATTGTTACGGGAATTCAGTTATTAGCCAGTTTAGCAGCTATTGTTGTGATTGATCGGATTGATAGACGGAAATTACTTTTGTCCTCGGGCATAGTGGATGCTGTTTCTTTAACTATTGTTGGACTTTTTTTCTTCTTGCAGACATATAATCCCGAATATGCTACCTACATTACTTGGCTACCACTTTTCGGTCTTGTTTTGTACCAAGTTGCCTTTGCCCTAGGTATTGGAATCATACCCTACGTTCTTTTGGGCGAATTATTCTCGATAAACGTCAAAGGCGCTGCGGTAGCCTCAGCTTTAGTTATCGGATCTGTTTTTAATTTTGCCACATCAGCTGGTTTTAAGATTTTGAATAATGCGATTGGAATTTATGCGACTTTTTGGTTGTTTGCGATTATTGCCATTGTTGGTTCGGTTGTTACTTTTTGCATCACGCCCGAAACTAGGGGTATGACTTTGGAGGAAATTCAGGCGATGCAGAATCCGAGGATGAAAGTGACATTGGAGAAAGGGAAAAAAGTTAATTTATTAGCGTAGGGAAGTAGATAATTTTCAATTTTTAGAAATTTAGTGCCGAACTGTTTGCTGTATGATGTGCCATCGAATATGTGTATATTTTGAAATTTTAGCCAATTGTCTAATTGTACATTAACTATTACATTCCTGCGTGATTAGTCGATATTTTATGTATTATAGTGACATTATTTTTGACATTCGGAATCTATATGTAAATTATTAGAGAAAAATATTATGCATTGAATTCAATTAGCATAATTTACATGTAATTACTTTAAAATACTGATAAGGGATTCTTGTAACTGAAATATACATTTATCACTTAATTAAAACACCTGCTATATTTATTTGAATTGAATATTGCTATATGTTTTTCTGTTTTTAAAGCTTTTGGTTTATTTAAAATGTAGACGATTTTTTACAGTTTGTTTTAGAGTTTCTTTTTAGAATTTTTTTTATTTCTTTCAGATTTCTTTTAGATTTGCTTTAGATTGTTTTAAAGTGTGTTTTAGCGTTTGTTTTACAGTTTGTCTTAGGGTTTTTTTTTAGTTTTTTTAGAGTTCTTTTTCGAGAGGTTGAAGGTCATGTGTATTAGAGTGTCCATCAGATGTTAAAAATATGATGAAAAACGCCATTCAATTGATACAATGTAACCGCCCTAAACCGCCCTGTATTGACATGGTGCGACTCTTATTAATTTACCCCTCTGTGGATATCTACCCCATGACAGTAACCTTCACGAGGGTGGCGTTTGTACCCGTTTAATCTGTAACTGGCCACGCCCCATTCTTTTTTTTTCTCACCGTCACTCTCTTAAAAAAAAGAAATTTATCTTTGAATACTGATTTATTTTACTGATTTGTTGAGAAATGGAAATTTTTACTTCTTTGGCACACTAGGTCAACTTTTTTTTTATTGTTATAGATGAATTTTTGTCTAGGTCAGTAAAAACAGGTTTGATTGACTTTGTGGTTCACTTTTATCTTCAATTTTAATTTTATTGGATTAATAGTATAGTCATTATTAATATTATTATCAGTATTATTAAAATTGTGACTGACTCCGGGGAAAGGTATACCTAAGAAACAAAAAATCCGAGGCTATGTTTTAAATTTTCAGTTAGTTTTAAATTATCAACTAGTTTTAACTTATCAATTAGTTTTAAATTAGCGATTAGTTCTAAATTAGCGATTTGTTTTAAATTATAAATTAATTTTGAGTTATTAACTAATGTTAAATTGTCAGATAGTTTCGAATCATCAGTTTAGTATGAAAATATCAACGAAAATTTTCCCCCATTTAAGACACATATTCTGCAGATAAATATTTTAAATATTTTTGATGTTTCAAAGCTCTTTTGAAATTGAGACAGAATGACAGGAATAATTACGCTAAAATTGAAAGGCTGAGGAGGAAAAATGTATCGAACTTCATGAAACGAAAAAAAGTCAGCTAAGTAAGCTCATCGTGACAATGGTCGGGATTTTTCAAAGGAATACTCCGATTTCAAAGAAAAGATGTACAATTTTTATGGAGATTTCTAATATTTTCGAACCACGTTCGATAGACAAACGTTTATTAATTAATTAATTGATTAATTAATTAAATAATTGTTGGTATTTAATTACTACACAGTATATGTAATTATTTTTAAAAAAATTTGAATACAGAACCTAAAACATAGAACAATGCTTCATTGTTGAATTTTTCACTTAAAAAATTGTAGCATTTTGTTCGTAAATGAATGCAAAAAAGAAAGAGAAGAAAATAATTTTTCATAATATACAGCGAATGGGTGGAATTTCTTTTGAAATTGCCAGAGAAATTGACAGAGTTGGTTGGATGAATAGTGTAATTAAGAGATATTATTGTTTTTCATGGAAGAAATTCGCTCTTGTTTTGAATCAATCATACCGTCGAGAAAACAATAACTGGTGTACGTGCCTCTTCGCGTCTCCAGCCTCTGCGCCCAGTGTAGTTCAGTGAAACCAGTCCCTATTTGCGGCGAATCAATGCTATGTGTATATGTACACCAGCGGGTAGCTTGTACCTAGCAGCATTTGTGATTGCGCTAAACCTAAACAATAGTCTACCCATCGACTATCCTCATCCGTTGAGACTGCCACCATATCTCCGTTCCACCAACCAACCACCCCACACTTTCTGTTCCAATTCATTCATCCTTCAGGACTAATTGACTTCTTATTACTCTGTTTATCTGTACATCTAAACAAATAAACATTTCAATTTTTTGTGTATTGAAGGCAGGGCTCGAACTAGGTCCGTAAAAGTCAGTTTTTTTTAAAAAAGGTTCGTAAAGTCCGTAATTTGATTGAGAAAAGACGAAAAGTTTGTAAATTTAACGATATAATTTGGAGAATTTTAGAGAAATTACAAATTGATTGCAGAAATTCAATTATTTCCAAATTAATAAAATTCTTCGCAAAAATTCAATTATGCTCAAAAGTTTTTTTAAATTCTCGTGGAAATTTCAATTATCTTTAGAAATAATTAAATTCTTCTCCGAAATTCAATTATTTTCAAAAAATGTAATTAAATTCTTGGCAAAATTTCAATTATTTCCAAAAATTTTCCTCAATTCAATAAATTTTAATATCTACTATTTTAATAGAATTCTCCACAAAAATTCAATTATTTAAAAAAAATTTAATAAAATTCTACGCAAATCTTTAATTATTTTCATAAAATAATAGAAATTTCACAGGAATTCAATTATTTACAAATTTTTTATAAATTTATTCGCAAACATTCAATTATTTTCATAAATAATAAAACTCTGTGCAGAATTTCAATTATTTTCAATACAATTTTAATCAAATTACTCGAAAAATTTAATTATTCTTAAAAATTATATTAAAATTCGTCAAAAGAATTGAATTATTTAAAAATTGATTGATAAAATTCTTTATGCAAATTAAATTTTAAAAACCATGCAATTATTCAAAAAATTGTTTTTTTTCATTTAAATAATTGAATTCTAGTAGAATTTTCTAATAAAAATTTATTTAAAAAATGCATTTCAGTTAAAATTTTAGAATTTAATCAGGATTTAAAAATTTATTGATAAAATTCTTTATGCGAATTAAATTTTAAAAACCATGCAATTATTCAATACTTTTTTTTGAAATTATTTAAAGTTTTATTTTCTAATACATATTTAATTGAAGAATTTATGAATAATTAAAATTTTGTTAAAATTGAATTATAAATAAATTAATTTGTAAATTCTTAACAAATTCTTTCAAAAATTATTAAAAATAATGCATTTATAGAAGAATTTTAGTTAAAAATACACCAAAAAAATTTAATTTTGGAATAGTTACAAATTATTGCAGAAATTTAATTATTTTCAAGAGTAATAATATTCTTCGCAAAAATTAAATATTGTTAAAAAAATAGTCAAATTCTTCTTAGGGATTCAATCATTTTCAATTTTAATAAAATTCTCAAAAGAATTTAATTATTTCCAAAAATTTTAATAAAATTCTCCTTAAGAATTTAATTATTTTTATAAATAATAAAATTCTTCGTAATAATTTAAATTATTTTTAAAAACTTTAATAAAATTCTTAACAACTATTCAATTATTTTCATAAATAATAAAATTCATCGCAGGATTTTAATTATTTTTAATACAATTTTACAGGAATTTCTCAAAAAATGTAATTATTTTTCAAAATTTAATTTAATTTTCTCAAAAAAATCATTTATTTAAAGAAATGTTTTTTTAAAATTTTTTTTTAAGAATTCAATTATTTACAAAAATATTAGAATTTTTCATAAGAATTAAATTATTTTCAAATATTTTAATAAAAATGTTCGAAAGAAATCAATTATTTTAAATACAATTTTAATACATTTTTTTGAAATAATTCAATTGTTCTTAAAAATTTTATTAAAATTTGTCGAAAGAATTCAATTATTTAAAAATTTGTTGATAAAATTCTTTATGGAAATTGAATTTTAAGAAACATTCATTATTAAATTTATTATTTTTTTTGTATGTAAATAATTGAATTCTCGTAGAATTTTTTAATAAAAATTTATTTAAACATGAACATCTGTTAAAATTTTAGAAATAATTGAATTTTGAAATTATATAGTACCTAAACAAATGGATTTGAAAATTGTCAATGAACTTTTTCGAAAATTATTAAAAATAATCGATTTAAAAAAGAATTTCAGTTAAAAATTCTTGAAAATAATAATTGAATTGATAATGATTTTATATTTTTGTCAGTAATTAATTCGTTAATGGTCCGTAATTTTTCATTTTTGGTCCGTAAAGTTCTACAATAATAACTTGTTTTAATTTTATAATTTTTTGAACTTGCAGTAAAAATGCATTTTTTTTTAATGTTGGAGCAATATTCCTTTATACTACTGATGTAATATTGTCGTCATGCTGTTTGATAAATACATTTTAGAATAGCAAAAATAGCACCAAAAATCAAATATCTAAAATGATGGTAACCGAAATTTTTCTGCCATATGTCACTCTTAGTGACAATCTAATCATGAAATTTTCAATTTAATCATAAATCCGATCTTATAAAGAGCGTATCTTCATCTTAAGTGGGTTAAGTACTTTGAAACGCATCTGTTACTCATTGAATCCTTTCACAGATACTTATCTCACTCCTCCAAAATGACCCATTCCATATAGATTAATCCAATCTGTTTATTGCAAATTTGCAATATTTTTTCTATGAATATTTCTTTTTGCTTTTAATTTTTGCGCGAACTTTTTTTTCAAAAAGGAAAACTGGCTAAAAAGTTCGTCTGATTCAGTTGTGCACTTCCGGAAGAGTAGACAATCTCATTTCTCATCAAAATAATCATCTTTTGTCACGAAAGGGCTTAAAACTCGTGTTTTTCCTGGCTCAGCGACTTATTCCGCGAATTCGGTGTTGTATATAGATATATATTAAAGAAAGAAAGAAGAAGGGAGAGAAAAAAAAAGTTGGCAGTATAGTGAGAGAGAGAGAGAGAGAGAGGATGAGATAAAAACGAAAGAAGACGCGAAGAATATTTCATTTCCGCTTCTTCTCCCTTCCGCCCGGCGAACAATTGTCCCGACTTCGCTTATTTATGCATTTCATAAAAATGAGACCGGGCTCGCATTATATTTGATTCTGTGCCCGTCTGAGTACAAATGGGTGGTACATGGGAGATGGTGCGGGGTGAGTTGAATAAATGAATGGAACCCAGGGACGTAGTAGGCGATGGTGTATACAACAGGGAGTGAGTTTATATAAAAAAGCTTTGTATTTTCTTTTTTTTTCTGCAAGAGATTAAATGAGACAGTGCA